CATTATCCGTGCACAAGCCAACCGGCGGCGCCACAACACGCACCCCCCCAAACCCCCTCCCATCAAGCCACTTCCTCAAAATACCCATGAGAAACCGATTCGCCGCAACCCCACCGCTAACAACAAGCGTCTTCACCGGCACGGACTCGGGAACCGGAACACGGCGCTTATCGCTCGGATTACGCGGGAACTGCGCCCTCCATTCACACAGTGACTCCAACGCAATAATCGTGCGGCTGGCAAGATGCTCGAACGTCACGCGCATGACCTCGCGCGCAAGGAACCGTCTCTCCTCATCGCCCAACTCCCCACGAGATCCAGAATGTACGTTCGCGTTCCCGCTCGCCCGCGTCAATATATCCTTCACCGCCGTCGCAAGGAACGCAAAGCTAAACGCCAGCTCGCGGGTCTGCGCGTACGGCGTGCTCAGGCTCCACCCGTAGCGCGAGCGCACCTTTGAGACTGCAATCTCGTCGCCGCGGGATTGGGGCGCGACGTAATCCGCGTAGTCGGATGGGCCGTTGGGAAAGGCGAAGTGCTCGAGGAGTTTGCCGTACATTGTGTTTTTTGAGGTTGAGAGGAGGGAGGGCGGGAGGATGTGGCGCGCGGCTTTGTCGAGGGCTTCGCCGAGCGCGACGTCGGTTGTTGTGGCCATGGTTTTGTGGGTTGTTAGGGAGGTCGAGGTTACGAGGAGGGTGTGGCCGCCTGAGGCGAGGATTGAGAGGAAGGGGAAGGCGGGCGTGCCGGTCTTGTTGTTGTTATCGTTGCTGGCGCTTGCGGACTCGGGGTCGGAGGTTGGGTTGTTGAGCGCGAGGGCGGAAACGAGCCTCGGCGTGAGCAGATGCGCCTGCATATGGTGCACCCCGATAAACGGGATCTGCCATGCGACAGCCAGTCCCTTCGCTGTATCCAATCCCGTGAAGAGGTTCGACCGCATCCCCGGCCCGCGGGTCACGGATATGAAGTCTGGTTTTTGGCGCACGGTGCCATCGGATAGTGGTATTATCTTCGTGATATTGTTTGCGTGTTCGGATGACGGCGGCGGGAGATGCGGTAGGGCCTTGTTGACGAGTTTCGCGACGTTGCGCTGGTGCGATTCCAGTGCTAGGATTGGGTGGATGCCTTGGTAGGCTGTGAGGTTTGGTGTGATGTTCTTGAGGAAGTGGATTTTTGCGGCGCCGGTTGTGTCGTCTTTGTTGACGATTGCGACGGAGGTGTCGTCGCTGGAAGAACTATCAGCATACCGGATGTTTGCTGGTAGGTTGTGTCCGCGGAGGCGACTTACCAGGATGTCTCGATCGCGAGGGTCAGGAGGCCGCGGCAATGCAGATTTGACGGTAGCGGAGCATTTCTTGAGAATACCCTGCGGCCAGCCGCGGATACGGATAGTCTCCGCAGATGGAGCATTGAGAGAAAGGCGGGAGTGTTGATGGCAAGATGAAGCATCGGAAAGTTGAAAGGAAGTCAGAGTCGGCGGTCGGAAGTTCGGCGGAACGCACGGGCCATAAGCCCTAGATGCTTGCCCTAAGCCCTATTCAGGCCGTATACTAACTTACTAGGCTGGAAAGCAGACTGAATGCTCTAGCCCTACCTAGTGAGTACCTAGCAAAGAGCCAACGGATAACGGAGTGGTGGTCCAGATAAGAAATAGAAGACGGTGGATCTAGCAAGCGCCTAGGGCTCGCATGGCCCCAGCTAGTTGAAGCAGCGCTGAGGCATACTTCGCCTCGGCGTTGGAACCAAATCGCACCGTTTCTCGAGGAGAAAAGCAGCGGCTTCTCATTCGGCTTGAGGGGAATTGGATCAGTGCGTAGCTCTGCGTCAAGGGAGCATCGAAGGCGACGTTCCACCAGGCGAAAGCAGACATGAACCTCTGGGAAGAGGCCGTGGTCCGGCAAAGCTACAATCCTTATGCATTTCCAGAATGAGTCGTTGGAGGTGCAGAAGGTATTGGAAGTTAGTGACATCGTTGTGGACTAGTTGGAAGTGGAAAAGCACCAAATGGACCGTAAAATTATATATCCAGGGCTCTAGACGTGCCAGGCATATCGATCATACTCATAGATCATCTCAAAAACTAGCTGCGGATCTTCTTTACCCTTGCATTCCTCGCCAGTAGCAACCCTTCTCCTGTTCGATAAATTTATCATCCGAGGATAACTCCCACATTAAACCAAGAGCAAACACAGCGATCTTCTCTACGGGGTGAACTTGACAACCTGCGACCGTTGAGTTAAGCTGCTCCTATGAAGGCGAAGCTCGCTAGGTCTCTAAAGTTCTTTTTGGAGTGGCATCGACTTCTTGCTCGCTGAGTCCACTACGCAGGCGGGAGGACGGCGAGATAGCGATGTTGATACAGGCCGATGTGCCTTGTGGTTTGCGAGGGTAAAGGGACATCTGGATGGTCATGTAGAAGAGGCTGTCAGGTTACTTTCATTTGTTGACCTTGTCAGCGGAACTTGCGTATAAGTAGGTAAGGGATAGTAATCAACGCACATTGCCTGTCCGTCATCCCTAAAGGAAGTACAAATCTTAAACTTGTCAAGGTTGCCATCTAGCGCTCTGATGAGGACTTCTTGCTAGGTTAGCTGCTCGCTTGGAGATTGTGGTAGGCCTCTCGGATGCGGGCTTTGGTGAAGGAGGAACCCGGAGTAATAGACCCGAGGTCACTGTTCAGACTGTACGTGGACTGGAGCTAGGTATACATATCTGATATGCGATGTTTGGTCTGTAGGGTAACCTCTGAAAAATGCAATTTCCACTACGGTTTGCTCAAGCCCACGGCAGACTCCCCCTTCCAGATGCCTTTGTTCGTTCGTTCCATACTTGGGAATGGACCGCTCACATTATCTACGGAATCCGCTTCATAAACGGCCATAGATCCTCCATCGCACCACTGCTCGCACAGCCCAAGAGCTCCTCATAATAATAAGCGAGAGAATAGACCGGGATGAAATCTACACCCTCGTAATGCGAGATATCCATCAACGACCGCTGCCACCACGCATCCACAACTCTAATGGTGTATCCCCTAAGCCGCGCGTAACCATCTCTTACATCTCCAAAGTCCAAATCCGCCAACATGCGAATAACAACACGATCCATCACCAGGCACACGTGGTTGCGCGCACTAGCGCCCCGGATGGTAATGCGCCCATCTGGACGGTCATCGAGCAGGCGCAAGCCGCGCAGATACGCACGGAACTCCTCGCGCACGCGGTCGATCGATGAACCGTCCAGTGCCTGCTTATGCTGCACGAGGTCAATCTTGAACCGACGGGTGGCTTCGTCTGTGTACTGCGCCGTAGAACTGGCTCTGATACCGCGGCGTGTTGCTTCAGTGAGATTGGCCACTGCGCGCGGGGTCTGGACAGTGCTTCTGTGTCGTAGGCGACGGCAAAGGCGTAGAATCCCCACGTTGGATCAGGCTTGTGCTCGTGCGGCTCGAGTTTGTCCGGGACGATTTCGGAGACGGAGTGGACTTCTTGGATGAGCTGGTAGGTTGGGTCTTGTAGTGTATGCGAGTTATCAGCGTCTATGGGGCTTAGGTAGGTTGCTGGGTCTGATTCTGCGCGGACTTGTTCTGGAGTGCGGGTTAGGAATCTCATGTTGGGCGGGGCCCGGTCCGAAGGACTGCAGAGTAAAGGTTCGGATCTTGGGAAGGAACAGTTCAAGTGGTGAGAGTTGGGTCTGGAGGTGTGGCTGGTCGGAGACTGCTGGCTGGTCGGCCGCGGGTTGTCATTGTGATGGTTGCGGTTGGATTGATGGTTTATACAGTCAAAGAGCGGCTGAAGTCTGTCTTAGATGCTGTGCTTGCTGGGTCTAAGCCCCGCATGTTCCAAGTCTCACCAATCACTGGTACATACCATTATTCTCAAGTGGAAGATCAGCCAACCAGGCTTTAATAGATACTGCCCAGTCCAATCTACTCCATATCTCCTTGCTGGAGCATTATGTTTAGTCAAGGGAGATAACCTGCCGAGTTTCGCGATGCAGACTTCCAAGTCTCAGGTAGGGTACCTCCATTGACCGAGGTGATCTACTCACGCTGGGCGAGCCACTCAGCCCCCCCTGGGTACGCAAATTGGTATGGAGGTACGGAACAAGCCCTAAGTAGAATTGGCCACAACTTCAATAACCTCCAACATCTAATACCGAAACGCCTGCTGGAGCTTCATATCCTCCCTCATATCATTCTCGACCCCAAAATCCCCGTTGAATGACTTCAGCAGCACGTCCTTAAACTTTTTCCCAACACGGGGCTCCAATCTTCGCTGGGCACGTCTGACCAGCTGCGCCCTGGCCGCCTGGGTTTCTCTATCTGTTAGACATTGACTGGCGGGGATTGACATGAATACCCCAAATGAGTAAAGGGGCTGTTCCCTTTGAACCACCACAAGGCTCACCCCGCGTATGCCGCAAGTTAGGGCTTGATGGGGCTTAGGTCGGCTTATGCCTGCGTTCAATCACTGCCAGTTCTTGATTCAGTTATCAACCTACGCATGCGGCTTGATCCGTCCATGTTCTTAGGTTCCCAGAGGAGACGCCACCTGAAGGAATAATGATCGGAGACACGTTTATTCCTGGGGGGCGATTGTCTCCATTCCAGCGTATAGGTCGTTCCCTGCACACTCAGACTTCGATGCTGAGGCGTACTTTGGCCGGGTGAAGGATCGGGTGAAGGATCACTTTGTGGCTGGGGCACCGCTGCTGGACCTTATGTTTATGAGGCGAAGGGAAGAGGTCTATTTCTCATCCCATTGTGTATAGTTAGGGCTTGGTCTGGCCTCCGCTCGGTACCACTCATAAAATAGTTGGGCGCTATGTAGATGCTGGCTTCGCTGGCCAAAAGCATACGGCATCTGAGTCTTACAGATTATCATCTACCAAACTACCTACTGACCACCACAGACAGGAGTTGGGTGGCTGCTTGTCTCGCGATCAGGGTGAGCGTCGCATCAGCCACTGTGGCTGAAAATGCCGTGTCACATGATTCTAGGTACCAATCATAGCTCAGCCATACGGCACTCCCCTGCCAGCAAGCAACACTCTACCTCTCTCCCTTCATTTCTCCATCAATCAATCCGCCAACTCTCTCTTCTTTCTCAAGCATCCCATTTTGGCGGCAGCTAGCTTGTCTTTATCAACCAGTCATGACGCCCGCCGCAAAACCATCGAGAGCCGCGCGCTTGAACGAGCGTATCTTGAAGAGGATGCAAGACGCCATCGTAGCCGATCTAGAGGTCGACTTGACGACAAAGCTGCCAACGGACTACTCTAACCGGCTGGAACGCTATTACCATGGGGATTATCTAGAAGTATGCCACGCTGTCTGGTTTACTAGCTCCTTCGTGGCGGCAACAAGCCAGTCACAATACCCATAAACTTCTAAGCGTCAAGGGGTGGCCCCGTAAAGGATGGGAAGTTGAAGAGCTTATCAATCGGCAATAGCCTCACAGCCAACGGTATCTGAAATAGCATCCGGACATTTACCTATCCATGTCCTCCTTGGTTATACTCCCAGTCCAAGCCTTAGGGCGCCAAGTGGTCAATAGCAGCCGATTTTGGCAATATTCACAGTGGTGCGGCTTTGTGCTCGATAAAGGAAGAGAACAATTTGTAAGACACCAAGGTGTAGCACTTGCACTGGCGCAGCATGGTTCGACGTTACAGGAGGTACAGCACTGGTCAATTGCGCAAGGTTTGAGTGAGAACACTCCTTGCATGACGGCTCCAAAGGAACAGGGCCTGAATTGGCGTGGTAACCTTCTGCAGTGCCGCAGGAATTAGAGGTTGCAAAACTGGCACAGTCCCACAGATCCCTCATTCGTTTTGAGGAAGAAATGCGGACAGCTTAGGGTCTCCTTCTTCGGGCCCTTGGTTGCTCTAGGGTAGTTCTCGGGCATGTTCATAAACACTAGGGTTTGTTGCCACGAAAATCGATCCTGGAGAGCTCCCTATCCCTGCATCGGGCCTTTGCTTCTCGGGGGAGAATCAAGTAAGAATGCACCTGGACCGTGATTCTGTGCCTGTCTTTGTTGGTATAATTTACTTCCAAGAGAGAAATGAGGCAATACACCAGAGGAGACAGGCTGCTGACTACGGTATTAACTGTTGATATCGTTAGACACTGCAGTTCTATGATTAAACCACTTTTATTCGAAACAATCGTATTGAGACGGTGCCACATTCGTACCCTTTCCCGATACACCTCTGCCAATCCTCCTACTTCCCCTCAAAGATCCCCTCCGACCAATCCCTCATCATCCCAACCCAGCGCTCATGCGGCACATCCCCAACCTCCGCACACCGTCTAACACTCGGCCTGGTAGCAAACTCCTCATAAAACCTCCTCAGACGCGGAAAATCCTCCACCACCTCCCGCCCATAAACATCAACAACCGTCTTCCCCGAAGACCGCGTCATATCAACCCCGTAGCAATAGTCCGTGAACTCAAGGAACTGGAACAGAACAATCTCTGCAATGGTAGCTTGCCTCTGCCGTTTCCCAGGGTTTCCGTCATCGTCGTATCTAAGACCACCATCATACCTATTCTCCTCAAACCAGTTCTCAACAGCCAGGAGACCACGGCGCGTCCAGCCCAGCATCTCTTTTGCGGCTGTCGGGATCCGCATCGTCCCCGTGCCGGAGCCGAAGGTGCGCACGGGGTTCCAGGTCTCCGTTAGCCCGTTCGCTAGGCTTAGGAGCTCGCTGTGTCGGGCTGCGAGGAGGGCTCGTGAAGCGGCGTCGGCTTCGGTATCACCCGCAATACCCCCTGTAGTCCCTGCAGATGGCAGGGGCTCGTTGAGAGGCAACGCCAACGGCGCATCAAGCTTCGGGAATCCATAACGTCCCGCATTGCACGCTTCCTCGAGGAACTCCATGATGGCGATTGACTGCTTGATGAAGAGGAATTCCGCTGCGGCTCCTTGTGTGGGAGGCTTGGGCTCCTTCTCCTTCGGAATCGCGAGGATCGGAAGACTCCCTGGTGGTTTTGGGGGAAAGCCCGCGGGGACCTTGGCGCCGAACTGGACGTCCGAGACGTTGACGACGGTCACGAGGGACGAGGGGATGTTTCGCTCTCGGAGGTAGATTACCAGGCGGCGGGGGTAGGGCTGCCAAGGGTAGGCGTAGAGGAGCCACGGCTTGGATGTGAATGTGGGCATTGCAGTGGTGGGCAACAAGGTCATTGTATAGTATTTCTCAGGGATCAGATGTGGGATCTTGCAAGACGATGGAAATTGGGATTCGAAGCAGATGCTCAGGCTTGTACTTATACTTACCTGGTCGGAGATTTCTCGTCTAGATCCGGAGACATTTTACCAGCGAGGTACCCGTGTCGTCACATCACAGCTCGGAGACTATATCAGCCTCGGAATATAACGCTAAGGTAAAATGAGCTCCATTGGCTGATTTGCTGCATTTTGCTACCACACTGCGTTTAGGTTGGTTCTCACAGCCCTAACATCGGTAATTCAATGGCCCCAGGCCATAGAATGAGGATTCAATGCAGGCCCAGGCTTGACAACGGAGTCATGATTACAAGTCGATCTAATCAGTCAGCTTGGTAGTACCGGATCCGTCTTGGATATTGTGCATATGGAAATTCTCTCCTGTATTACGCTGTATGTTATTGCGGGTGTCCGACAGCCCTAAATCTACAGCTAAATATTTTCGGCCTCAAAAATATCGAGAATCCCATTTCCATTCAGAATACGGTTGATCGGAGTTTCTGGCCAAAGAGAAACCCAATCTCAGTGTCAAATACCCTTTCGAAACCCGAACCTGAGACTGCTGTTGCAAGGTTGCGAATTGCAGTGCGTAGAAAGCTGACATTTCTCTTGGATCTACCGTAGTGACATAGACTAGAGGCAATCATCGATGGCTTCGATATATGCCAGTCCGCTACCATTTTGTACTTATGCCCGCACCATATGTCAATATAGAAGTACTGTCTTTCTCAACCCGTCGCTCTTGTACACTAATAACCTTTACAGTTTACATAGCGTACATAAGGTGTTGGTTGGCTCATCTTTATTGTAGTGCAGGATCAGCTGTAGGTATAGTCTTGTTAGCCTGCGAACACGACTGATCGGGCAGTTTAGGGGAGTCGAAGCCGACCTCAGGTCGTAGATAAACCAAGTGCAATTATTGTAGAGGGATTGCGCCATGAACAATTGACCCACCGGCTATGGAACGTAGGGTTTTAAACCTACCTAGGTAGGTCCTAGGTAGGTCAGTTTCTTTGCTTTTCCCTATAGTCCTTGCTCAGGTTCGGACCAGGCCGCTATTCGTCCCCTCTCTAACCAATAAGCTTCCCATGGCAATTCGAGAGACAGTATACCTATTCGTGCTGACTGGAACTGCGAGGATAAGATAATGGCTGAAGTCCTCGACGGGTTTTCTTTGAGCTTTGAAGATGAGGCCGGACGTGCGGCAGAGGCAAGGGCTATAAGCAGGCCAGTTCTTCTATGCTGGCCAGCAGAACAGTCCAATTTCATATGGGTGAACAAAAAGAAAGTGAAAAAGAGAAAAAGAAAAAAAGAAAGAGGTCCTGCCCGGGATCGAACCGGGATTACCAGATGTGACTCGGAATGGTATCAGAGTCTGATGTCATGACCATTAGACCACAAGACCTGTTGATGGAATGAGCTCAAGTTTTAATGCTTTATAGGCCAAAATCAAATGCCAAAGCAACCAAAAGGCGTTCTCAACGCCATGGCCCTATTCTTCCCCAGCATCGCCATTTCGGTCTCGCCCTGCGTGGAAAAATGGCTTCCGTGATAAGATACGAGCATAGCGCTTATCTCTCTTTTGATGATACCAGGAGCCAATCACGACGCGTAACGGCTCAGGCGTGGTGATCCTAGGGTACCGCACTCACTGGATCTTCGTCGTTTATTGGGGAGCAATGCATCGAAATCTCCTTCTAAATGGCCATGGTTAATTTCTCGTGGCAGGATCTCGTCAATTCTTGCCGCAGGGTATATTTCGACTAGATATGATGTGATGCATTGCGTAGCAGAAGTCTCGTCGGAGGCCCCGAGGTAGAATATATATTTCTGTCTTTCCCCACTCAGACCCGGGGCTAGTGACGTCTCGTGGTGTACAAGTTAGTTGGTAGGGAGATTTCTCATCGATCGACAGGCTGAGATTGGATTTGACACCAACAAGCAAGAATCGGATGGTACATAACCCCCCCCTCCCCCCTGGCCCTCGATATGCCCCCGACTACTCAGGCAAGTACAACTTGTCACACGCAGACTACCCCGTCCCGACCTATGGCGATTGGCATTGGCCATCCCTAATATTCATATAAGAAGACCACGGCAAGAGAGCAGGCCAAGAACCTTCGGTGGCCCGGTATCGGGAGAAAGTAGGTATCTCTATTTCTATACAGTAGTACCACCTATACCAAGTAGTCTACCATGGCAGAACCATCAGCGCACCCAACAGCATCGCCCCAGCCCAAATGCCAGCCACGGCACCGACTCCTTCCCACGAAGCAGCGCGCGCCATTCTAGTTCTACCTGCAGCATTATCGGTAGGCTCCTCACTCGCACTCGCAGCCGACGCCGACGCCGATGCCGACACCGCATCCCTAAGATCCGAGTCATGATGCAGCAACGTAATAGCATGCGCCCCCATAACACCACTGTACAGTGTCTCAGTACTATCAAAGATCGTGGACAACGTGAGCTTCGAGCTCAGTACATCCGTCGGAGTGCCGATGTGCGATTCGGACACGATGCCGCGCGAGTCCGTCCACGTTGTTGTTTCGTACATGTACCTGTAGTACGTGGCGACCACGCAGCCGGAGCTGGGTTTGTAGTCTGGGATGGTCGAGTAGCAGAAGCCCGTGGAGTCGATGGTCATGCCGCTGGATTGGTTGGTTAGTGGGGTTTTTTTTTTGATGCACCTGGAAGAAGGGCGCGGACCTGGGGCAGCACACGGCTAAGGTCTGCTTGGGCTGCAGAGCTTCCTTGAGCGCCATGACGGGATTCATGTACTCCTCCCAGACATGGCCATCGTAGTTTTCGTCTGTTTCTGTGCTTGTGCTCGTGCTCGTACTGGTAGTCACGGCCGCAGTTATAGTTGACGGGACTAAAAACCCCGACGATGTGAGCACGCTCCTGGCATCACGGGCCGCCACGCCAATTGTCTCCCACCCCTTTGGACAGTACAGGCCGGGCGAAAAGTAAGTGCTGGGAGCCCCATACAGCGTCTGCGAGTCTTGCGACTCCATGTACTCCTCGTAGGACAGGTCAAAGTCGTCCGGCGGGGCGGTGGTGGGCAGCGGCGTCCCGGACGGCGTGCATTCCGCGCCCCATGCATGCGGCGAGGTGCATTGGACGAGCAATTCGGCGCCGGCAACGAACTCGACATTCGCGCTGGTGGTCACGTAGCCGAGGAGCATCTGGTTGGAGGAGCTGCATGTTGGCGCAGGGGTGAAGGTTGTGGTGAGGGGGCCGACGTTGGTGAAGGAATACCAATTCCCGGAGAGGGAGGCGGTCGTGACGCTCATTATGCTGGTGGGGATTGAGATATGTTAGAATTAGAGGAGCAGCTCGACAGCGAGTGAGGAACTTGGAGATTTTATATGCGTCAGACTGGGGTTAGTCGCGCTTTCAAGCTAACAGAGACAGGCTAGCAGCGCATTCTAAACAGGCAGGTGCAATATTCAATCCAGGCAAACCTCCGATTAGCTCTTGGGGCCCTGGGAGGGCCAGACAGTGACCACGGAGTTCGGGTCCTTCCGACAACCGTGTGTCCCTGCACAGGACTTGACAGGGTTCCCTCCGTGCCTCCAGCTCATCCTTAGATCAACGAGCACCAGATCACTCATTACATTACCTTGCAAGCTCGACGTTTCCAAAACACGCCGAGTTCACATGATCCTTCGAAGGTCACATCACCTGGACAATACTCCGTACAGGGACCCTGCCACACCTTGAAATCTCTTCCGACCCACTTGGCGTTCGATAGAACACTTAGGGCTGCTAGCTTGGTTGTCCCTGGCATCGGCAGTTTGGCACTCCACTTCATGAACCGCTGCTCAGAAACGCACTTTATTGGCTGCTGTCGTTCTGGGCTTCGCAGGACCGAAGCACCATCAGGAAGCGTGCTGCGTCGTTGAGCCTCCAGCCGATCGCCAAACGCCGCGTTGTATCGTGGACAATGGACAATGACGACGAGCATAATAGCTTGGCACCGATAGCTCCATGACGGTTGCCTACGAAAGCCCCATGTCTTGTTCATCAATCTTACGCACGCAGACCCTGTCCTTTAATCCAATTGGATGTCACGGGGGTATGGCCGAGCACCGCCAAGCCAAACCGAGCCCTAACTTCCAATGGACTGGTTGAGGTATGCCAGTAACATGACTACCCCAGTGCCGCAGAGCCCTTCGTACAACGAGGTAGATCCTCGAAGTCGCTCTCATCGAACAAAGCGCCTTGTTTTGCACCTCCAGCATTAACAAAGGTACCCAGGTACCTGGTTTACCTCCGCTATTGGCGCTGCTAGATAGGTATGCTCGACACAGGCGCGCCATAGGACACTGCAGCAGCAGGCACTATAGCTACCAGCGAGCTATACTATAATCAAGGTCATTATGCTATTCTACATCCCCAGCCTCCACGTTCAGTTCGCTACCCCGAATCTTCCCCTACCCTACGGTATACCCAAACCAAGCCCAGACCCCTCATCAACCAGGAAATCATCAAACGGAAACGTAAAAAACGCATCCATATCCAACGACGCCAGGTCCTGATTGAGCTCAAACGCCGCACCGCCACCCCAATTACACTCTCCGATTCCATTTCCATCACCCTCACCACCACCGAAAAGACCAGGTCCAGGTCCACCAGTACCACCCTCGCCCGTCCCCACCGGACATCCGCCCCCATCAAGACCTCCCAACGCATCCGGCGTAGGCGTAGACAGTGCCCAAGCAAAACATGAACCATCAGCATCCACCCCCTCAAAACCGTCAAAAGAGCCCTGAGCCTGAGCCCGAGCCTGAGCCTGACTCTCGTCAAACGGATCAAGATCAAAGCCCGGATTCACACGCCTCAGCATCCCCCGCGCTGCGCTGATCACGCTGGCAACGGGCTCGCCGTGCCTCATGCGCGCCAGGAATCTGAGCGCGGTGTGGATCCAGTGCAGGTGCGAAGGCGGGTGTGTAGCGTCGTGGATGAAGTCGTACAGAAGCAGGAGGAGGGTGTGCGTCAGGAGAAGAGAGTGTGTGCGGATGTCCTGACCATAGCAAGAGTATGATTAGCGGGCCAGGTCCATGGTAGAGGAAGGTACGGACCTTAATCTTGGAGTTCTGGATCCCCAGCGCGGACAGGTAGCGAATTGTCGAGACTGCCGCGTTGAGGGCGTGGTTGCACCCTTCGCGGAGGTACGTCGTGCACTCGGGTCGAGGTCGAGTTTGAGGATTGGCTTGTGCGCGGTTTAGGCGGTCCTCGTCGCGTTTCCAGCGGCTCCGGAAGATGACGAGGGGGCGGTATGTCAGGAGGGTCATGTGGTTGAGGACTGGGTGCTTACAGTGAGCTGAGACTAGTCAGAGGTTTAAATAAAGGGTGTAAACATACCCATAACGAGAAAGACCTCTCTCGGCCCATGCGAAGAGTTCCGCTCCACACTCTCCCAGTCCACGCCAAACATATCCTGGACCTTGGTCCTGAGCGAGGAGAGTTGTTCCGACAGAATACACGCCTCACGCCACAGATTCGCGATGGCGCTGTGCTTGGGCTTGTAGATCCGGTCCGTGATAGCGCCCATGAGCCGCGCGTAGTCGGTCAGGAGGGCAAGGAAGGGATTGTCCGGTAGGGGCGTTTCGATGTCGACGGCTTCGAAGCAGCTGGGGCGGCCTGTGCAGAAAGAGATCCAGCTAGACGCCGACAAAATATAAGTACCTATACAGGCTGATTGTAAAGGAAGAAAGGCACCTTTCATGGAAATACAGAATCCAAAACGTGACTCGCCGCGCGCTGACATCAACTGGGCTCACGCCTCGCCTCCAGTTCTTCCTCAGCGCCTCCTTGTGCAGACCGGCTAAGAAGGCCTCGCGTGCGGCATGGCCGATGGCGAGGTATGCGTAGTTGGGACGGCCGGCTTCGGTTTCGAACTGCGCGTATAGCTGCAGTTAGTATACTGCATATATACAAGGTTGAAGTGCACATATCATCAGAATCTGCACCTGAATCGACTCCAGGCTCGCGAGACCAGTATCCTCAAAATGATCCCTCTTGACGCTGCGGAACAAGGTCTCGCCCCATTCCCATTTCTCCGTGGCCTGGGCCGCCAGCGCTATTGCCAGGAGGAGAAGGTTCTGCTTCTTCCTGATGTGAGTATAACTTTGATTCTGTCTCTGACTCCGATGTCCATTGATGTTGTTCGATGGGATTCCCTGTACGTGCATGTGCGCGTCATAAAGCTCGTCTAGCAGTCCCCTGTAAAATTCGGCTGGGAGAAACGGGGCATATGCATAATGTGTCTCGAGATAGCGCTCCAACAGCTCCTTGGCAACATCGTATGGGATGAGGGCGAGCATCTCCCCAGCTAAGTTGGAGCCTGGCGCGTGCGAATACGAATTTAGAAGCGCACTCTCCGCCGCTGGCAGTCCGAGGAAGAGGGCCCGGTCGTGGCCCGCTTCACCCACGGCGCTCTCGCTCGCATTCCCGAAAAGATCGCGGCGGAGATGCTGGGCGAGCGAGAAGTCCGAGGTTGGGCCGTAGTAGAGGTCGACGGTGCCTCGATGCCTGGACGTCGTATTGGGTCTGGGTATACTAGAGCCATTTTCCTGCTGCCCCTGTTGGAAAACGGTCAACCTAGCATGCGGAAATTGAGCTTGATCATCGCCTTGGAGTAGAGCGTTCGCGTTATCGCTGCTTGCCTCCACAATGCCGGGCTCGCCTGGCGAGAGAGTGGTTGTACTCGCTGTCTTTGCCCTGCGCCGCCGGACAAAGTCCCGGAAGCGACAGTCGCTTTCCTGGCCTCGCTGCTGGCACGGCATGCAGGGGGATTTTCCATCGCAGCGCGATTTGCGAGTGCGGCATTGCTGGCATGCCTTGGCTGTTTTTGAGACGCGATTTGCAGAACCCCGCGTGCGTGAAGCAGCTCGCTGGGTGGGGGGCGATGCCGGCATGGAGCTTTGGTGCCAGGGTTCGGGATGAGGATAGATAATCCCCAGTTCAACAGAGGATGAGGCCAGCTGATGGTGGAGAACGGGGTCAGATTGCATTAATCAGCCGCCCCGCCTAGACTGATCCTTGTAAGCAAGGTCTATAGTTCTATTTCTTATTGACGGAGACAACTACAGAGCTTTTAGCGTGAAAGGTGTAGGTACATGGAATGAAAAATGGGAACAACGTGTGGCCATATGCCGCTGCATGGGCCACGCATGCACGAGAGGGAGCGTATGCAGGGCGCTGGGATCGTATGGTTGTGGTTTCTTGCAGTATAGCATTCTTCCGGCTATGGCACTGTCAAAGAAGAGCATTCCGCTGAGATGCGGAAGACGCTGCCACCGGGGGAGATTGGGCTGGAGAGAAACGTGGAGAGACCAGGGCTCGATGTTGCCCTAGACGGGATACATGGCATGTATCCGAGGACAAGCGCAAGAAGGTTCGTTCTGCAACATCAGGTAGAGACAAGACAATTAAAGCAGGATGCGCTTCAAGTCCACTGTCCAGTGTGTTTGTGAGTGTGTCTGACAAGTCGCACGCAATGCCACCAACCCCTGTTCCAAATGCGGGCGCGATAGAGGTAGGTAGGGCACAAAGACAGGAAACCCTAAAGAGCATGATATATCGGCAGCGCATAAAGCGCCACCTGCCAAACACACCACCACCTCCAAGCCCCTGCATCGCCATTCTTCAACAAAACACACGCACAAACCCACAGCCCCAGCAGAACCGGAAACACCGAGACCCAAACCGGAGTCTCCCAAAACACCACACAGACAACACTCCAAACCGGCACACAGGCTGCAATCCATTTCCGCGAAACGCCGTCCCCAAGCACAATCGGCCATGTCTTCCTCCCGCGTAGCCGGTCGCCGACCTGGTCTTTCAAATCCTGGACCTGCATCGTCGTCGCAATCACACACCCGATTATCGCGAGCCAGGTATATCCCGTGGCTGAAATGCCCACCTGCCCGACTGCCGCAGTAGAGAAAGGACTGGGAGGAGCAGTCCCCACCCCAATCCGCAACGAAGCAACAAGGAAAACATCATACGCGACCGCAATAATCACGTCCCTGCTGACCTCATCCCCGCCCCCGAGATCATTATACATCCACGCCAGGAGCAAGATAAGGGCGCTTTCAGTCCCCACGCCTAGAACCGCACTCAGGCCCAGCACAACGGGGATAGAAACCAGCATAAGCCGTCTTGTCTGGGTCTGTGTGATTTGCCCCTGCGGCAGCGGGCGCCACGGCTTATTTGCGCTATCTTCCCTCACGGACTCCGGGAGGCGCTGGTTTGCTAGTTCGAAGATGAAGACGTTGGACCAGTTGAAGAGGAGCATGCGTGGGATGCTGCGTAGGAGGGACCAGAGGGGTGGGGGTGGGCAGGAGGTTAGGGATGGGGCGGCGAGGGTTGCGAGGAGGCCGAAGGCTGTGTTGGGGAGGACGAAGGTTGGGATGTCGCTTTCGCTGAAGGACCAGAGGAGGGAGAGGAATCCGATTGCTGTAACCATTGTGTTGGTTGTTTCTTGTGTCGGTTAGGCTAATAGAGTCAGTCGGGAGGTTAGGGCTGGTGTTGAGATGGTCAAGCATTGGCTTGCAGACAGGAAGTAAAGTTGATATTTGACTAGCCAACATCTTCCGGATGTGTCTTGTTATATGTGTGAGAAGCGTATTGTCTGTATGCTTGACAGAAAGCAAACGTAGTATCCGTGGTGATCTTACTGTAGGTATCAAGGTGCGTGTGCGTATGCGTATAGCGATCTTGGAACGTACCCAGTGCAGATCCTCAGCCTCACCCTCAGCCGCAGCCATGTGTTAACATTCGGTAAGAAAATAGGCGATCCTTGCCGTGACGAACCTCCTTTGCAGATATTGCTTTTGCCCGACGTTGCCCAGGGACGGGCGTGTCTAGAATATGCATACTTTCCGGCGTAATGAGCGTACTCGGCTCTGGTAAGGCGCATTAACTCTCGTAAACGGCGTGTGCGTGTGTTGAAGATGTAAAAAGCAGCGTGGAAAAGCACACCAGAGTCTACAGGCTTAGCTTGCAATGCGATCTACGTCTAACCTGTTGTAAAGCCGATCATTGGACCCTCGTACCGTCCGCTTCCGACAGATCTTCAAAGGAAGAGCGTCAGAGGATAAAAGGCCAGGCTTCCCTAATTACCTATCTTTCGAATGGCTGCTTAGTCTTCCCATCTTTCACTTCTCAACCCTACCCCGAACTATGCCCTGGTTTACTTCCGTACCACCTGCAGCTGCCGGGGCCATAATCGGCCTCGCAGCTCACCACGGACTCTTCACCCACGGAGAATGGCACACGCAAGCCCCTTCAATTCTAGTATCCCACCTCGCCGTCTTCTCCTACCTATCTATTGCCGCAAAAAACGGCTGGCAACTCATCCTAGGCTACCTCCTAGCCCTATTCACCAGCATCCTCATCTACAGGATCTTCTTTCACAGACTCAGACACTTCCCGGGCCCGTTCTTCGCCTCGACAAGCAAGATCTGGCACGTTTGGAAGGCGCGCCGCTCAACGAATCACTTCTTTCTGCAGGATGTGCAGAGGGAATATGGCGATTTCGTGCGGACTGGTCTGTTCCACCCCGCTGTGCTTGCAATTAAGTTCGTACACTTGCTGACAGCTCACATCAGGTCCGAGCGAGATCACAGTTTTCCATCCAGACGTCTTCATGGCTATTGACGGCCCATCCAGCCAGTGCGTCAAGGCCGAATGGTACGACCTCCTGCACCCGAATACAGGCCTAGTGACCACGCGAGAGAAACACCTCCACCGAGACCGCCGACGGCGCTGGAACCGGGGATTCACGCCGAAAGGTGTGTACACGCCCCACAACGAACCTCCAACCATAGAGGTATAGCCGTGGTGAGCTAACACAGCGCAGCGCTCGCCCAGTACAAAAGCAAGATCCTCCCGTCCATCGAGCAACTCGACGCCTGCATCAAGAACAACATCGCCACTGGAAAAGTCTCAGACGTCTCCGATCTGCTCTTCTGGCTCACATTCGACCGCATGGGCGAGTTCGTGCTCGGCAAGAGCTTCGATATGCTGCGGAACCAGGAATGGCATAGCATCATTGTCCTCCTGCAGAAGGCGATGTCGATTCTGGGGCCGCTGGGTCCGACGCCGTGGGTTGTGCAGATTGCGTTTCGACTTATGCCGCGTGTGGGGGTGTTGCGAGACTGGTTTACGATGGTTGCGTGGTGTGAGGAGCAGGTGAGGACGCTTAAGATACAGCCTCAGGTCTGCCTCTCCTCTCCACCCCAGGACTTCGAATACTATGGCTAACCAGTTGATCATAAGACACCCGAGGATAAGCCATCCGAGCCCGCAGTCCTAGCCCACTACCTCAACCTCAACCTCCCCGACTCCCGCACCACTGCAGGCAAACCCACCAACGCAGCCCTAACAGGCGACAGCATCTCCGCCATCGTCGCCGGCAGCGAGCCCACAGCCTCGGCACTGATCGCCCTCCTCTACTCGCTGGCCAAGAACCCAGCACACGCCGAAACCATCCGGCGCGAACTCCAACAAAACACCGTCGATATCCGCGACAGCAATAGCCTGGCGCGGCACTGCCCGCACCTCGAGGCGTGCATCTTTGAGGCTCTACGCCTTTACCCGTCCATTCCGTCCGGCGGGTATAGAAAGACGAGCGCGAGCGAGGGGATTACCGTGGGCGGGACGTATATCCCGCCTGAGACGACGGTTGTTGCGCCGCGGTTTGTGATTGCGCGTCGTGAGCACTCCCGCCTACTTCTTGCATAGTTGACTGATTATTGAGATATGCAGGCGAGGACTGTTTCCAGCACGCAGAGCGCTTCATACCAGAGCGGTGGACGACGCGGCCGGACTTGGTGCGCAATCGGGCGGCTTTTGCGCCTTTTGGGACTGGTACCTCCCACCTAGCCTTACCCTCCTACCCTAAGTTTCAAGTCACGTATATAGAGCTGGCTGACATGATTCAGGCTCCAAAAGCTGTATCGGACGAGCGCTTGCCATGAACGACCTGATGCTGGTTACGGCGCACATTGTCCACCACTACGAGATGCGGTTTCCGGCTGGGGAGACGGGGGACGAGGTGGGTCGGGACTGGGTTGATAATTTTACGTCGACGTTGGGGCGGTTGAGGTTGGTGTTTGAGGAGCGGGAGGTGTGATTTCGACTTACATGCTATATAAGTGGTGTCCGCTGTTTCATTCATGAGTGGGGTTGGGCATTTTACCTTCAAGATGCAATGAGATAGGATGTGTATCTAGTAGGACGCAGGTAAAGACGAGATTTATCCGTTTCCTGGGCAAGGTCAAGATATCTTACAAACCAAAGGCCAGACCAGGTTGAGAGACGCCCTTGGGGCACTTGGGGTATATCCGCGGACTTCTGCCACGAGGCATGATCCATACTCAATACCCAGCAACCCTAAGCCGTTGCATACGTTTATCATGGACGCCATGACATAACACGCCCTAAATTATTTCTTGCCGACGAGTTTAGCTTGAGTAAATAATGAGTGGCTAACCAAAACAGCACTGTTCCGGCAGGAGCGTGCTGCAGATGAGCCCTAACCAGAAGATAGGTAAATCCGCGGATTTAGCGGCCCCCGGCCCACCACCGCGGATATTACCCAGTTTCTCATACCTGCTTATGCAATATTTGAAGAGCATCTGCACTAGACTATTAGTACTAAGATGAACCGGGGCACTGAGACAGGCCCTGGCCAAATGCTCCATTGGCGCATGCTAGCCCTAGATCCGCGGATATAGCCTTGCCATACATAAAAGACCAGCAGCAAGGCAAAGCTCTCAATGACAACCTCTCAGTACTAACCTGGATTACACTCAAAAACCCACTTCTAACTCCTTGTTTGAACCATCATGCCCCCCTCCGTCCCACCCCCCTCCCTCCGCAAGGCCTTCCACTTCACAGACCTGGGCACCCGCAAGCCCACCCGGCCCACAGACCCCTACGAGTACCAGGCCGGCTTCGGAAACACCTTCTCCTCAGAAGTCATCCCCGGCACTCTCCCCGCGGCCATCAACAACCCCCGCCGCACCCGCTTCGGCCTGTACACCGAAGGCCTCACGGACTCGGCCTTTGTTGCGCCGCGGGACGCCAACTTCAGCACGTTCATGTACCGCGCGCGGCCGGCCATGGCTCACGGTATACCCATCCATCTCGAAATTATATCCAGCAGCAGAACAGACCTAACGTAACGTAAACAGACGGCTACCGAGACTCCTTCACGCACAAGTCCAACCTGGAAAACTGCTTCCTCCCCCTCAACGCCAAAGTGCAACCGCTGACCGGCGAAACCGACTTCGACCCCTTCCCCATCCCCGAAACCGACACCGACTTCATCGACGGCCTGCACACGCTCCTGGGCAGCGGCGACCCGAATCTCCGCCAGGGCCTCGCGCAGCACGTCTACGCGATCAACACCGACATGGACCACCGCGCCCTCTGCAACAGCGACGGGCAGACCCTAATTACACCGCAGCTTGGAACACTGGACATCCAAACCGAGCTGGGCATGTTGTACGTTGAGCCTGGTGAATTCGTCGTTATCCCGCGCGGGATCCGGTTTGCGGTGCGGTTGGCCGCTGGAAACGGCGATGGCTCTGCAGGTGCAGGTGCAGGTGCAGGCGCAGGCACAGGCGCCCGCGGCTTCGTCACCGAGATCTGGGGCTCGAGCTGGAGACTTCCGGACTTGGGACCCCTGGGCGGGCATGCCCTCGCTGAACCGAGCGACTTTCTGTATCCGGTTGCGTGCATCGATGGTCTTGACGCTTTGCATGAGCGCTGGACGATCGTTACAAAAGCGGACGGGCGGTATATGGCATTCGAGCAGGACCACAGCCCGTTTGATGTCGTTGCGTGGCGCGGGAATGTTGTTCCTTATAAGGTGCCCACCACTCACCCTACCCTATCCCGCCCATCCGGGCCATCCATAGTCTACTTACTTTCTATGGTACTCGAATGAATCTGATATGGTACTAACATGGATGCAGTACGACCTCACAAAATTCGCCCCCGCGCACTCCACCTCCGTCGACCACATCGACCCCTCCGTCAACACCGTGCTGACCGCGCCCTCGTCCGACCCCCACACCCCGCTCGCCGACTTCCTGCGCTTCGGGCCGCGCTGGGACGCAACGAGCAATACGTTCCGGCCGCCGTACTTCCACCGCAATGCGGCGTCTGAGTTTGTGGGGTATATCTATGCGCCGGGGCATGGGCATGGGGGTAGGGCGATGCATGCGGGCGGGTCGGCGAAGGTTATTGTGAGTCATACGCCGCATGGGTTTGAGGCTGGTGCTGTGAGGGCTGAGATGGGGGTTGGTTTGGAGGATGAGGCAGGGGCGAAGGAGGAGAGGGAGGGGGAGGGGCCGAGGAAGATACTGCAGGGTGAGTCTGCCTGCCTAAGCTTTGTACCGGGCGTTGTTGTTGCTCTGGTGGATGCTAATGTGGCTGCAGAGACGCTGATGGTGATGGTCGAGACGAGCCGGTCGCTCCTGGGCACGGAGTACGCGGTTGAGCGGGCGGGCGTGCTGAAGAGGGACTTTGCGATGAATACGCGGGCACGGGATATTCTGAAGGTATGCTTCCCCACCACTGCAGTGTCCATGAGGCGTTGGTGCGGCTTTGGCTAACCTGGTAATCCATTGCAGGATAACTTCTCGGCGTACCCGAATATCGAGAATATTCTTGCTCGCGCTAAGGCCGACAGGGAGGGTAGGCGGCGGCAGGTGGAGAGGTTCTTTGATGATGAGGCGCTGCAGGGGATTGCTGGGCTGGAGTAAGGGCATGGCATGATGCAGTAGCTGTATATTAGTATCCTTGTGCAGTTATGGGCTATTGCCATCGGATGAGCTTGCTATAGTGTGCTAGTGGGACTGAGTTATTGATAGGAGTTGGAAAGAGGTGATGGACTGGCTATATCCTTGTTCTTGTTGTTTAATAGTCGGGATAGGGCATCGCTCCTATTAGTACCTGGCAGCCATTTGCTGTGCAGCTGACAGAAGTCTACTCCGCGTTCATCTATAGAGGTTAGAGCTAGGTAGGGATTATCTGCTTTCCCCTAATCTCACCGTACACGGTTACATACTAGGTACTGAGCCAGACGCAACGAAGGGTACTATATATGTAGTTCCATGGCTTGGATCAAGCACCCACTTCGTCTATTGGCAGGGCACGAGCAGACAAACTAGGGCTTGCGAGAGTAGAGTACTCAGGTGACTTGGATGTTTACAAGAGTAAAAGCCAGGTCTAGACCGTCCAGCTAAGCCTTTTCCAGAAGAGCTCTGCTGTGCTGCGATTGGCCACTCCACGCCCAGACATCTCGACAATATTTGTCGTAGCTGACAGCATCGTACGCGTGTTCGACCTTATAAATACTGCTCTCGTCCCCGTACTCGATAATAAGGCCAAAGACCACAATCAACCGCAAAGAGCGAGAGAGACTGGGGAGTTAGGGCTTGCTCGGAGGCAGTTCCTCCGCGCCGAGTCTCCAACATGGCCCGTCACGTGCTCTGGCCCTGGCCCCTGAGTCCAGACGCCCAACATGGCTGGGTCGGGGGTGCCAGGCCCATGGTCCTTGGGTATCGGCGAGTCTTGCTTGGAGGGCGCTGTTCTCGGGCTCGACATTCGCATCGGCTAGGTTGGACGGGGACTCTTCAAGCCCTAACTCGGCACCGACTATCACGAGCACATCTGCAGAGATCGGGCGGTTGATGCTGCGCTGGCCTCTTACGTAAGAGGAAGGGCCAGATCGCCTTCGCCAGATCTCTCATTCACCGGGGAAACACGGGCAGGCGACGAAAATTCCCTTGGGACGTCACGGCAGCTTCAAGGAGCAGATATCGACGCTCGACGCTACGCAGCTGCAGAAGGTAAACTTCTTTGCAATTGCTATACAATCGAGCAACGAACGGAATTGCTATTCCACCATGGCATCCACTGCCCCGCAGGAATTCATGTTCGTGGACTTCCACCGCGACAACGCCTCCACCAGAAAGGCGAGACAGATATTCGCGCAGAACACGTACCAGCGCAAGAAGAGACTCGCAGCCGTCGAGCGGCTGAAGACGTCGACGACACAGCGACTACGGCAGCGGTTGCCGTTCCGCTACGCCGCCGCGAGAGACGAAGACCGCCGGCCGTCAGAGGGTCCAGCAACGAATCCGCGCCATCCTCACCCGCAAGAGAACAACCTGCAGATCGCCAGATCCAGATCCAGAGCATCCTGGGCCGAGTTCGTATCGCCAAAGACTTTGCTAGGCCAGGGCTTCGTGGACCCATTTTCCACATCCGCCGTCCCAATGAGCGACATCATGAACTCCTACTTCCACCACCGTACGCTGCCCGGCCCTATTCCATTTCCATTCTTTCTCCGCAGTGTTCTATGTATCTAATGCAGCCACGGCAGTCCGCACCTTCACAATCCAACAATCCTACCCTCTCGACGCGCCCCGGATGAAAATCTGGTGGTGGCAGAAGGCGCTCTCCGAGCCCGCGATCCAGCAAGCCCTCCTCGTCTCCGCGGCAAGCCATCAAACAGCGCTGAATACCCTGGCCGGCGTGTCGCCGCAGTACATGAGGAGCTCGGTGAGGGAGTTCCTGCGCCTGCGGGGCGACACGATCAAGACGTTGAATGGGAAACTGAGGGATCCGGGGGCCGTTGCGGAGTCGACGATTCTGATTGTGGCGAGTTTGAGGGCTATTGAGGTACGTCGGTCCTGGATTGAGCTTACCCAGCTACGTAATGGGCGCGGGGTTCGTGGAGCCCATGCTTACTGTGTCAAGGCCATCAGTGCAAGCGTCGAAGGCGTCACAGCACATACAACGGGGCTCGAGGTCCTGATCAACCTGCACGGAGGCCTAGACGCGCTCGAGCACCTCACCGTGTCGAAAATCTACCAGTAAGCCTTCCCAGACCTGGATCCATCCCTGCAAAAGAACCGAGAAAAAAGCTGGAGCGCTAAGGCCGTCCCAGCGGCGACATCATCCGCGCAGCCCTAACAGACACGCCCCCGCTCCCATTAAGCCCCAAGTGGCGCGCCGAGATCCTGCAGGGACTCAAGCTCTTCAGCACCTCGACCGGATTCCTATCTTCATTAGCGGACCTGGATCCAACCCTCCACAATCAGCTCTCCCACCTCGGCACATCCTTCCTCAACGCCCCCTGGCTCACCACCCTCCCCCCAACCCTGCAGACAACCCTCGTCATCTCCCAGCGCCTGGTAGCCTACTACGAAGCGGCGCAGGTGGATCCTTCTCTTATAAAGCCAACGGATAATGACCTCTTCGTCGTGCTCATGCACCGTCTTGTTGCGGATACATATAAAGATACCGTTCACGAGCCGCTCCGTCTCTGTCTCCTGGTGTACCTCAACATGCGCGTCTGGCATCTGCAGTCGTTTCCGATTATGGCGTGTCTTGTTGGGATGTTGAGGGGGAGTTTACTTTCGCCCTCGGCCTCTGCCTCTGTCTCTGCCGTTGATGTTGCCGTTGACGTTGACGGCGGGTGCAGTGTCCTCTCCCACCTCCAAAGCGTCGCACCAGATCTCCTCTTCTGGATCCTCTTCATCGGCGGCATGGCGTCGCACGGGCATAGCGGGCACAGTTGGTTTCTGGGGCGGCTGGCTGAGTGCGCGTCTCGTCTTGGCTTTGGGCTGGAGGGGGATGCGGGGTGGGCGGATGTCCGGGGGTTGCTGGGGGGGTTCTTTTATACGGATCAGAAGGGGGAGGTGCTTGGGGAGGAGGTGTGGGGGGACGTTCTTGGGTTGATTCAGGCTACAGCTACGGCTGCAAGTGTGAAGAGTGAGGGTGTTTCTGGAGGTGGTGGTGCTTGTGTTTGACTTGGTCCATGGCTTGACTTGGTACTGGTGTTGGCCGTGGAAGCATGGCAGATTTATGGTGGAGACACCCATTATGCGTCTGTGCCGATGTGCTCCGTCTCAGGCGATAATCATATAGATGGAAGTTCCAATTCCCAGGTTGTCATACCCTACGTGTCCTCAACGGTGTTCTCTACCTACCACACCGCAGGCCCCGAGTTCCGCAACGTCCTTAGTGCCTGCTCAAGCGTAAGAACCGTAACCGGAAGGCCGGGGAGAATCCCCTCCATAATCGTGCTCTGGATGTCCGGCGCACCGGGCTCGATAGTCGTGTCTGAAATAACATAGCTGCATGTATCTGCTATTAGTATCTGCACAATCCCAGGATTGATCCATTTCAAGACGGGACGGTGCATACACGTTATAGTCCAGATCAAAAAGTCTATACGCTGTGCTCAGGATAACGCCCGAGCTGCGGATTCCAGACTGCTAGTCTCATTAGTAAAGTTCTTACTTGCTAGCACAGTCTGGTAGGTAAAAGCATGGTATGGTAGGTAAAAGGAGTACGAACCAGAACAACCGTGTCGACCCTCTGCGTCCGCAATATCTCCTCTAACGAATTCCCATCGCCCGCGTAGTACCTGCTCTTGCGCAGCACGACGTCCGTCTCGGCTGGCGCGAAGGCTAGATAGATCTGCGTGACCGGGTCCGACTCGGTGATGTTGCCGAAGGCCGCGGCGGCTTTGTAGAACGGGATGTCTGGGCTCAGTTCAGGAGCCAGCGGGGAGCTATAGTAGATTCGTGTGTAGATTGTGAGAGGGCGTGGTGATTGAACGTGCACGCTGAATGGGGAGTGTCAGTTGGTTGGGTAAATCCGGAAGGTGGGCGTACGCGTCGATCCAGGTAGAGGTATTATTGATCCATGCTTGCCCTTCCGATGTTTCGGCCAGTGGTGAGACAACGCCGTTGATTAGGTCGAGGTTGAGGACTGCGTAGTTTTGGCCGAAGGTCGGGATTGTGTTGGAGGCTGAGGTCGAGGCTGGTGCAAAGCCCGATAACAGGACAAATGGCAAAAGGAGACTCTGGGATACGGACAGACGCATGGTGCAGACTGGACAGACTTGGATTACTGATTTGGGGGACGGATTGAGAGGAAAGAAAGGAAAGCGCGCTCCAGTCGGGCACAGCCCAGCTTTTAGATTTATACCGTAGCGTTCTAAGCGAATATGATCGATCACCTCCTGCATTGTTGGCCAGCTTTGATCAGCCCGCCTTTAATAGCAAAAAGCGGGGCGAGCTGAAAAGCAAGCTCTCTTGGGCCCTTGGCCCAATTATTAGGTCGAACGGTGGATCTCTCGGGCTCTTGCCAATATGCTATTGGATCCTCCAAGGATCGGTGACCGATGTGGCTGCTGGACGACTCGATAGTGCGTGATACCTGCGAGATTTCCATAAGCACTGACTCATGTGGCTTTTGGGGTAGCACCCGAGCGGTTGGTGCGGCGCATCTACTGGTTCGGGATATTATTCCATGCACAATGCCCCTGTCCCAAGCAGCACACTTACCTCAAGCCAGGCTAATAAACCGGTACCTCTCATGCCCCCAGTGCGACCCTCGCACCTCTACTCCTTTGTCACCGGGCAAGTCTAACACTCCCCTCGTTCCAAAAGCGTGCTTGACAGCCTCAATCGTCCGACGCACACTACCCAGGTTCCGCGCCTTCTGAATGCCGAAAAGCCTATTGAGAACGAAGCGGCGGTGCTCTTCGTTTTCCGAGGCAACGTTGCCCAGCACGAACAGCGGCCAGAGAAGTGTAGCGGTATTGGTATCTGGGAGTGCGGATATGGATGTGATTATGGAGGTGATAAGATTGTATTTTGATTGTGCGCTGGTTTCAAGGGAGGGCCTTTTCATATGGGTTTGTCCGCGTAAGATTTCCGCGGCTTCGTGGCGAGTTCCGAGACGCTCGGTAAGGTAGAGGAGGGCCGCGAGGCGTTTGATCTCCGCTATGGCTTGGAGATCCTTTCGGTCGAGAGAGTGTGAGGGGAGCCTTTGCGTGAGAGAAACGACGGCGCGGTGGAGGCCGAGGGTGGCAATCGCTTGGTTCTTGATCTCGGATGGGCTGAAAGCGCGGCGGCTTAGGATCTGAACCATGGCGTTAGAACTTGGTGATTGCTCAGCGTTATGCACGGTTGTTACCTTGGCTCTTGTGGATGCAAGGACAGAGATCCTGCGAATTAAGGCCATGAGGCCGCGCGAGCAGCCCATCAGGACATCGATCTGTGGGGTGAGTAGGTGTGCAGTGCAAGTAAACGGTGGCGTACCTCATCCAGATCATCATTCTCCGACCAAGGCGAGACTTGTCCATCGTCATAGGAGTCTGCATCCCCGTTATCGAATGCCGTATGACTCATGATATCGTGCGCCACAAAGTACATTCGGAAAAAGCTCCACAGACTTGGAGTTCTGCGAGAAGCGTTGGAGTCCATGAGCTGCAATCCCCCGCGCAGATGTGTCATCCAGGACGGAGAGCACCCGTCGGATATCTGTCAACAATCAGTCCACTGCACTTGGAAATGGTCATAGAGTGCTGACATCCTGGAAGCATAGCATGAGCACCGTAGCAATGGTTCCTTCATCTTGTAGGCCGACAGATAGATCCCGTCTGACACCCTGCAACGCCTTGTCTTTGTAAAGACAGGCCTCCTGCCTCAGATGGCCGCGGCCAAGAAGACAAAGCTGGTTCGCGGCGACCGCCAAAAGTGCATTTCGGAGTGTCTCGGAGGTGAAGCAAAGCGGAATGACGAGAGAGACGTACGGATTATGCGACGCACTCAATGAGCAAGAGGGGCTGATCCCTTGGATGAAGTAGTCGAGGAGGTAGGCTTCTGTCTCAGGGAAGGAGTGGAGGGGATGGTAAGGGGAAGGCGAAAGAGCAGGTATAAGGTCAAGTTCGGGACAAGATGACGGCCGAATGCATGTATCCTCTGCTTCGAAATCATGGGCAGTAACATTCAGGAATATCCAGCGGTCAATGTATGAGTGTAGAGACACTGCTTGGAAGGGCACTTTCCTCTGGCATTGTGTTTTCCGGGACTGCTTTGACCATATGCCTAGTCTGATCAGCCCTGGAAAAGTAATAGGACGTTGTATACGTGCCTTCCCGGCCAAAGCTCACCCCGCGTTGGACAGCATCTTCTCTAAAGGTAAGTCGGAGACCCCGCTCACAATGGAGGCCTAGCGTCTCGCAGCGTCGACAGCGAGGGTGTTCCTCGGTGCACTGAATGTGTTTTTCTTGACAGTGTGAGTCATTGTAGGCGATAAGACATGCCCTGGACGTACCTTTGCACTGCAAGCACCCCGTCCGCCGCCGGGTATCTTTCCTCCGTGACCGCGACATGGTATCAGATGGTTGAAGGAGAATGCGGGGGAGATAGCGCTTATAACTAATTCGCCTAGTGCAGTGTTATCTGGCGCTAATTATAAAGACTAGTCTAAATGGTCCTAGTGTCGATGATTTCAATCATGGTGGCAAATCCGCCTATCAATCGGCCTAACTACGTTGTATATTTAAACCCCCTCTGCTGGAAGTCTGTCTTATCAGAGAACGCCTCCTCCAGCTCCCCTTCAGTCTCCGACGGTTCAACCCCATCGACTCGTCTTCGGTTCAAGATGGCCGCAATGGTCCAGTAGCCGGCCATCAAAACCACACAGACGCAGTAACAGACGAGCATAGACACGAACCCGCCGGTGTACGCCGGCGCTTGGTTTGCGCGGAAGGTCTGCGGTCCGATAAGATTTCCAACGGCATACCCAATATATAGAATGGAGTACTGCACGGTCTTCTTCGTGCTGCCTGCGGTGTTTGCCTGTGCCATAGATATTCCGACAACGTACGGGCCGAAATAGGTGTAAAGCTGAGATAGTTAGCTAATGAAAATAGGCGCAGTGGACTGGGAGAGTACCAGGTAGATGCCAACCATCTGGCCGCCAATATTACTTCGAGGCAGAGTATAGACAATGATAGCGCCAATGGCCGGGACACAAGAGGCAAGCATTGTCACGAGGCACCGGCGGTTAGACCACTTGGCCGCTATCCAAGAGAACACAAACGCGGACAGCGTTGACATGACACCAGTAGGCATGTTCAATAGCGACGTGTTGACAGCCGAGAAACCTAGATTGTTGATGATGATACCGCTGAATGTTGTTAAACCTCCGTTGGGGATGTTGATGGCAATGTTGAAGAAGAACAGGATCCATGTCTTGGGGTCAATGATGGCCTCAAGCGCCTGGTCCCATTTCCACTGTCGGTTGGATATGCCGGTCTTGTTCTCTGACAAGCGCTGCACGGAGTGATACTTTTCCCGCTCGGTCAGAAAGAAGGCGTTCATTGGGGAGTCGGGGAGAAAGACGAAAGCGACGATTGACCAGAGCGTGGAGACAGAGCCGGTAATTAGGAACAGGTATTGCCAAATAGCCAAGGGCGCGCTTGAAGGAATATGCCCGACGGCCCATGAGAGGAACCCATTTATGATCGAACTCGCCGCTGCGAATACAAGAGCGTTGCGCGGCGGCTGTTCAATCTTTGTATAGAATCCGGCGATGATCAGCGAGATGGAAGGAACGATAATGGCTTCGAGGCAACCTAGAAACAAATGTCAGCATCTCCTTTCGAAAGGCTATATACATCAACTTACCCATGAAGAACCGCAGCGCCATCAACCCACTCCAGTTCCGGGAGACTGGAATAAGGAGAGCCAGAACAGACCAACCCAGTGAACAGGCCGAAAGGTACTTTGCCGAGGGAAGTCTATGCACAAGGTATGTAGAAGGCCACATACCGACGATCGCCTAGACTGTCATTAGTAAAGAGACTCTAAGAGGGTCGAGAGACGTGCTCCAATGGACAAGATCGAGCCAGCCCAGGAGTACTGCTGACCGACGAGATGTAGATCATCCTCCAGACCGTAGATGGCGGCAGTGCTAATGGCGACCTTGTCCACCGCGCCGAGTGTAGCGGTCATGAATAGCTGGGCCCGTCAGCCGTCGACTCGGTAGCATCGGGTAGAGAGAGGCAATACCATAGGAAGAAGAATCCAATCCATCTTCCGTATCATCTTCTTCTCCTCTTCGGTAGATAGCGGCTCGAAGCCGGCATTATGGGCCAGGAATTGAGCAGCTTCGTCCATTGCCTTGGTGACATCTTGCTTCTCCGGCTCGGGGGCTTCGACAGCAGGGGTTGGTTTCTGGTCAGCCATCGTGATAGAAGGGAAAGAAAGTGTATCCTGGAAAAGCCTGGCCTGACCTATGTCCCATCACGGCGATTTATAACCCCCCAAGGCTCGGCTATCTCTGTCGCCTGCACGGTCTAGAGATAGGAGCCATGTCCTCGGCTGGCGCTGTAGCGACTTACTCCAACTCAGATAAAGGATCTGGGGAAGGCCCACTGATAGCCCATCTGGACCAACCCGATTGGCGACGAGAGAGCAGGAATGAAGCCAAGTCCGTATCGACCTTCCCAGTCTGCAGAGGACCGCGGAGGAATAGAAATCGCGCTCCGGCGCCTTCCTCTTTGGGATGTTGGCCTTGTGTTCCCCAACTCCGTGTCGACCTTCCCTCTCCAAAGTCACTGAGGGGTAAAGCAACTCGGATTGATTATAAAGGCTTGACTTCCAGGGACAAGATGGAGACTCAACCACTTCAGTTTCTCCTTCCTCACCATGACAGTCCCAATGCCCTGTCCGGGCGGTGTTCGAATCGCGATCGGTGCCGCCGACCCCAAATCCACTCCGCCGAACAATCGCTGACGATTCCTAGATCGCGGGGGCACATTTACCGATGTCTGGGCAAGCCTCCCGGGAAGGCCAGACGTTGTTCTGAAGCTCCTCTCCGTCGACCCAGCCAACTACGCGGATGCTCCGACTGAAGGTCTGCTACTATGAATCCTAGACTGCCTGATGACTGCTAACGAAATCCTTGACCAGGCATTCGACGCGTCCTCTCCCTCTACCGCGGCCATGAGATACCCCGCGGCGTCCCCGTCCCGAAAGACGACCTCGAGTCAATTCGTATGGGAACAACAGTTGCAACGAACGCACTCCTCGAGCGAAAAGGAACCAAACATGCTTTCCTCGTTACAAAAGGCTTTCGCGACCTTTTAGAGATCGGATACCAGTCTCGGCCACGACTGTTTGACCTGAACATCGTCAAACCGGATGTGCTATACTCTGAGGTGAGGGAGGTTGACGAGCGAGTCACAATGGAAGGATTCGACGAGGACACCGACGGGCTTTTTCATTCGGTTGAGGAAATACCGGGTGAGCTTGTCCGGGCGTCGAGCGGTGACATGATACGGATCCTGAAGGCGCTGGATGAGATCGCTGTCCGGGCAATGTTGAAAGAGCTTCGCGCGCAGGGATTCGACACACTTGCTGTTTGCTTTACTCATTCCCACGTCTTCCCGCACCATGAGAGCCGGGTAGAACAACTTGCATTCGAAGAGGGTTTTACGCACGTGTCTCTGTCCTCAGCCGTCGCTGCAAAAATGATCAAGATGGTGCCGCGTGGAAGTTCGTCGTCGGCTGACGCATATCTCACACCCGAGATCAAGACGTATCTTAATGGGTTTGCCAAGGGCTTTGAGGGCGGAAACCTAGACGGTGTGCGTTGCGACTTTATGCAGTCCGATGGCGGGCTCGTGAGCCATGACCGGTTCAGCGGTCTGAGGGGCATTCTCAGTGGGCCAGCGGGTAAGAACTTCCTATCTTTACTTGTGCATTGCTAACTGCTTCTAGGCGGAGTTGTAGGCTATGCCCGCACTTCATACGATGCAGCATCCGGCACTCCCGTGGTGGGATTCGACATGGGCGGAACATCGACCGATGTGTCGCGATACGGTGGCACATTCGAACACGTCTTTGAGAGCAATACAGCCGGAGTCACAATTCAATGCCCTCAGTTAGACATCAACACCGTCGCGGCGGGTGGCGGCTCGATCCTATTCTGGCGGAATGGACTCTTCGTTGTCGGACCGGAAAGCGCTTCATCACATCCCGGTCCTGCATGTTATCGCAAGGGCGGTCCTCTGACTGTCACCGATGCCAATCTGTTCCTCGGGCGACTGATTCCAGACTTGTTTCCAAAGATCTTCGGCGAGACTGAGGACCAGCCGCTTGACGTGGACATTGTGAAGAGAAAGTTTATCGCCTTGACCGCGGAGATTAACGAGGACACTGGCAAGACGCTCACCCCGGAAGAGGTTGCGTGCGGCTTCTTAAATGTCGCCAACGAGGCAATGTGCCGGCCCATTCGCGCGCTGACAGAGGGAAAGGGATACGATATTGGTATGTGCAAGTATCGGTTCAATGACTCATCTGACATCTACAGCGAGCCATAACCTTGCAGTCTTTGGAGGCGCAGGCGGCCAACATGCATGCGATATTGCCCGCACGTTGAAGATTTCAACTATTGTGATTCATAGGTTTTCTAGCATCTTATCTGCATACGGTAAGTGAGAGCCATCCGCACATGGAGCCAAGCTAATGGTGTAGGAATGGCCTTGGCGGATATCGTCGAAGAGACGCAAGAGCCGGTCAATGAGACTTACAACAAGGCTTCTCGCCAGACGCTCGAGAAACGGCTCGCAAAGCTACGGACTCAAGTTCAACAAGAGCTGCTAAGCCAGGGCGCTGGAGAACAGGACATCACATACGAAATGTACCTCAACATGAGATACCAAGGAACGGAAACTTCGATCATGGTTCTCCGACCGGACGATGGCGACTTTGCAGCCGAATTCCGCAAGACCCATTTGCGGGAGTTTTCGTTCTGCTTCCCAGATGACAAGCCAATCTACGTCGACGATGTTCGGGTCCGCGGTATCGGAGCTAGCGAGAGGAAGGTCTGGGAAGGCGAACAACTTGGACAGCAACTCCGCGAATCGACTTTCACGGCCCCAAAGACTGACCTTGCGAAGGGTATGACAAGTCGGGTCTACTTCCCCAAGGTCGGGTATCAGGACACCCCTGTGTACCTGGTGCAGGACTTGCCGGCTGGCGTCTCGATCAACGGGCCGGCTATCATCGTCGATCAGACGCAAACCCTTGTTGTGGCGCCGGGCACGCTGGCCAAAGTTCTGCAATCGCATATGGTCATTGAGGTTTTATCGACGGCTTCGCCCATAATGGAGCAGCCGACCACCGTGGATCATATTCAGCTTTCAGTGTTCGGGCACCGGTTCATGAGCATTGCTGAGCAGATGGGACGTGCCCTGCAAAAGACGGCGGTCTCCTTGAATATCAAGGAGCGGCTTGACTTTTCATGCGCCTTGTTTGGGCCACAAGGTAACCTCTTTCCTTCTTTACAGTAACAGCGGCTGAGTAGATAGGTGACCTTGTCGCCAATGCTCCCCACGTCCCGGTTCACCTGGGCTCGATGAGCTACGCCGTCAAGCATCAGCACGAGCTCCACAAAGGCAAACTCGTCCCCGGTGACGTGCTGGTAGCCAACCACCCAGAAGCGGGCGGAACCCATCTTCCAGACATTACCGTCATAACTCCCGTTTTTGACAAGACTGGATCAACGGTCGCCTTTTACGTCGCCTCTCGAGGACACCATACGGATATCGGCGGACTCGGCGGTACTTCCATGCCTCCCAACTCGACTGAGCTCTGGCAGGAAGGTGCCGCTATTAGATCTTTCAAGCTAATTCACGGCGGGGATTTTGACGAAAAGGGTATCACCGATATCCTCCTCAGCCCGGGTGAGTATCCCGGCTGCACCGGGAGCAGACACATCCAGGATAACATCTCCGATCTCAAGGCTCAAGTGGCAGCCAATCACAAGGGAATGACATTGGTACAAGCCCTCATTGAAGAATACACTCTTCCTACCGTACAGATGTACATGAGCGCCATCCAATCCAACGCCGAACTGGCTGTGCGAGGCTACCTCCAGGAAACACGGGCAAGAATGGGATCGGAACTCACAGCAGTCGATCAGATGGACAACGGCACGCTCATCAAACTCTCGGTCTCCATCTCGCCGGACGGCTCCGCAACTTTCGACTTCACCGGCACCGGCGTCGAGATGCTCAGCAACATCAACGCTCCGCCCGCAATCACCCACTCGGCAATTATTTACACCCTGCGTCTACTCATTGGCACGGACATCCCGCTCAACCAAGGCTGTCTCGCCCCCATCGAGACCATACTCCCGAAAGGCAGTTTCCTAAACCCCTCGTCCGGTCCAGCCGTTTGCGCAGGAAACACGCAAACCTCCCAGCGCCTTGTCGACGTCATCCTCCGCGCCTTCCAAGCCGCAGCTGCCTCCAACGGATGCATGAACTGCCTCGGTTTCTTCGGCGGGGAGAGCGAGAAGCGCGATGGCTTCGCGTACGCCTTTGGCGAGACAATCTGCGGCGGATCTGGCGCTACTAAAGTTCAGAACGGCGCATCTGCAACGCATGTACACATGACCAATACCCGGATCACGGACCCCGAAAGCTTGGAGAAGCGGTATCCCGTCATCCTGCGGGAGTTTGCAATTCGGCCTGGCACGGGTGGCAAAGGTTTCCGAAATGGTGGTGACGGTGTGGTGAGAGACATTGAGTGTCGGGTGCCGCTAAGCTTCAGTGTTATCACTGAGCGGCGCAGTGTTGCGCCGTATGGCATGGAGGGGGGTGAGCCGGGCGAACGAGGTGCGAATTATTGGGTACGGAGGGTCAAGGGGGAAGACGGGGATAAGTGGCGGTGGGTCAATATGGGGAACAAGAACATGGTGCGCATGCAACCTGGGGATCGATGCGTTATCCATACGCCTGGTGGTGGAGGTTGGGGGGTGTCTGAGGCTGCCAATGGAAGTGCGCGGGTGAATGGCAACGGGAATGGGGCTCGAATCCGGCAGCAATACCCCAGGGCTTCGGGCAGTGTGAATGCATATGCCGCTGCTCAGGATGCATCAAACTAGCACATTAATTCTAATTATATTCAACTTGTCTGTCCTTGATGCCTCTCCGTCAACGCTTGCCTTGAGCTGTCCGTTTGCATCTGGTTGGTCCAAGGCAAATTCCACCAACATCCTGGCGGAAGACTGCATCTTCCGCAGCGGGCAAGGCGTCGCAATCGAATCACTGGCGCCCCTGCACTTCTCCTTGCTATACCAGCATTAGCATGACTCTCCATATGCAGGTGTTAGACTCCAAACATCCACCAGTTAGTGAATCACATACTTCGTCCACCTGTTTCCATATGCCTCTCGCGACATGCTCCAGATCATCATTATTCAAGAAAATATCATCCTCCGCTGGCGTGACTGGCGCCCTCAAGAATAACTTCTCGAACTGGATGATAAGCGGGGCCCCGACGACAGTCACAGTGTCAGCCCGTTTGTTCCTTGTGATCCGAAGGCGTTGGATGGCGCGGATCCGACCGTTGGCTGGATCTCTTTCCCACCTCTCAAGCATTATTCCGGGGCCATAACGACTGATCGCAATCGTCAATACGATCTTTACATGACCGTCGGCTTCCCGTAGCCACCAACGGATATCAGACTGTAGCTTTTTCCGCGTTTCGGAATACGCTACCTCTAGCACCACGGACGGCCAGCCCTGCGTTGCATGGAAGGGCACATGCTGTGGCTGCCAGCACATGTCTGGGGCTTTGGCGCCTTCCGGCGTGCGACGGATTTTGGCTCCCAGCGTTGCTAGTTCGCGGGTTAGGCCCATTGGGCACAGGGCATCCAGGAGGACGTTGTTGAAAAAGGGACCGGCGGCAGAGTGGGCGGGTGATTCGGGCATTTTGATCAGGAGGAGCTCGAGCGCGGTGTCGTATGCGCACCAGCGAGCGAAGATATTCGTCGTCGTCCTGTCGTCTTGGTGCGGGAGGAACTGGCGCGTGAAGGTGTCTTTGTTCACGCCGGTTATCAGGAGGTACTCTTCGAGGTTGGCGATAGCACCCGGGTCATAGATCGAGCGAGTGTCGTGCAGGAATTGCTCTGCGCCCCGGTAGGCGTACTGGCGCATCGTGGAAGTGGAAGGTGCGGCCTGGAGGTTCCCTAGGAAGCCGGGGCCGGGGTCGTTGATGACGCTTTCCGCGTCGAGATCTATGTGTGCGTGTTGTTTGCTGTCGGCCATGTCGGGTTTTGATTGATTGGTATGGAATTGGTATGTCTAAGTCTCCTCCCACATCAATGCGTAGTTTGAGATCTGATGATTGCTGCCAAGCGGCGATGAAGCTTGTTCTATGTATGATGTCAGTTACTTACACTTAAGTTTGTGGTCCGGGAAACTGAAGTTTATGGACCGGGTGGCCAGTGGCATGCCTTGGTAGATTGCAGGAGAGTTTAGGTGGCTGAGCTACCGAACATGGAATACAATCTAAGACGCCACCACATTCCCCAACACCCTCCCGACCTCCTCCGCAATCGCCAGCGTCCTCTCCTCACTCAGCCGTCTCCCAATAACCTGCACCGCCACCGGCGCCCCATGGTACGCCTCGGGATCATACTCGTCCTGCACCAGCTGATCCAGCTGCCCAACAGGCACAAACCCAGCATCCACCTTATCAACCGCCCGATCCGCAAACGTCACAGGGACAACGACGCTCGTGAAATCCAGCAGGTTGATCACAGACGCATAGCCGTAGTACCGGAACTGATCATGCCGCACTGCAGCGGTCGCCGTGATCGGCGCGATGATGGCGTCGAGCTCGCGGCCGGACGACTCCTCGAACTCCCGCCATTTCGCCAGGTACTCCATCTGGTAGGTCCATTTCTGCAGGTGTGTGTCCCACAGCTCGTTCATGGTTATCGCCTTCATATCTGGGTTCAGCAGGTCCTTTATATTGGGGATCGCAGGCTCGCCGGACGCGCTGATGTCGCGGGTGACGTCGGCGCTGCCGTCGGCTGCGTAGATGTTTGAGATAAGCGCGTGTCCGAAGTCGTGTCTGTATGGTGTCCAGGGAGTAACGGCGTGGCCGGCTTTCTGGAGGGCTGAGACGGTTGTTTCGATCCCGCGGGTGATGGGCGGGTGCGGGTGCACGTTGCCGTCGAAGGTGTAGTATGCCAGGTTTAGACCCGTGCTTTTGATCTTGGATGTTATTGCGTCGGACTCGGAGGGCCGCCAGGGGAGAGGGATGACCTTGCTGTCGTGTTTCCAGGGCTCTTGGGATAGGACGGCGGTTGTGAAGAGGCGGAGGTCTAGCACCGTCAGCAGGCATTCTAACCGACCTGATAGTTAAAGCCAAAGGGAAACAAACCCTGCACACTATGCGCAATCGGCCCAACAACACTATGCACCGTCTCCTGGCCCTCCATACTATTCCTCATCTTGGCATACGGCAACCTCCCATGCGACGGCCTCAGCCCATACAAAAAGTTAAACGCCGCAGGCACCCGAATCGACCCCCCAATGTCCGTCCCCACCCCAATAACCCCCCCGCGGATCCCAACAATCGCGCCCTCCCCACCGGAACTCCCCCCACAGCTCCAGTTCCTGTTCCGCGGATTCACAGTCCGCCCGACGATATTGTTGACCGTCTCGCAGACCATCAGCGTCTGCGGGACGGACGTCTTGACGTAGAAGACCGCGCCGGCTTGCCGCAGCAGCGCCGTCATGACGCTGTCGTGTTCGTCGTGCTGGTTCAGCCAGGAGACGTACCCCATGGACGTCTCGTAGCCTTTCACGCGCAGCTGGTCTTTCAGGGAGATGGGCAGGCCGTGCAGCGGACCAATGGGCTTCTTGTGTTTTGCGTAGTATGCGTCCAGTTCCCTTGCCTGGGTTAGGGCTGCGTCCGGGAAGAACTCGAGGAGGCAGTTTGTCTATGGTACCACAGCAATGAGCGTCAGCACGGCTCGTCTTGGCTATTATTATTTGTGCAGGTCCTGCTGGACTCACCAACTGCTGCGCGATCGCCGCGCGCTTGCAGAACGCCGTCGTCACCTCGACGGACGTTAGCTGCCCGCTCGCGAGGCTCGAGACGAGCTCTGCGGCAGAGGACTCGGTGATCTGGAGCTCCGCTTCGGTGAGGATCCCGCTCTTCTGGGGGAAATCAAGGACATTGTCGTCGGTGGGGAGAGTGCGGATCTTCCACTCGTCCGGGATGGTCTGCGCGAGGCGGGCGCGCTTGTCGGCGGCTAGGTCTTGCCAGGATTGGGGCATTGCGTGTTGAGTTGAGGATGTTGAGCAGTGGAAGTGGGAGTTGGGGTGCGGAGGGTTAGAGGTGTTACTTATGTAGGACTTACCCCTCACCCCTCATTCGGTGACCCGCCCGGGGCACCGGAGGGTATTGTCTGCGTGCTGATTGGCTGGCTATGAACTGTTTATCGGCCGGGAACGTGGCGAACCAAGGAGGGGGTATTTGTATACTGCCAACACATTTAATATTGGAATGAATTTTAGTGCCTCACGTGCCCGTGTAATTAAGCTATTTTAGTTTATATAATAAATAATATATAAATATAAATAAAGGCCTTTAAAATATACTTACTTAAAAATTACTAAGTTTGTGCTAAGGTGTAGGTATATTAATTTTTATAAGATTTTTTATATAAATTAATATACTAGTATATATTAGTAAACTTAATAATAAAATTTTTTAAAAACTTATTTTTAAAGCTATTTTAAAGCGCTTTTAAAAAAATTTTAATTATAGTTTAGTATTAAATTTATAATAAAGGTATTAAAATTTAATAAGGCGCCTAATAAAGCACCCGCGGGTATAAGTATATTAATTTTTATAAGATTTTTTATATAAATTAATATATTAATACTATTATTAAACTTAAAAATAAAGTTTTTATAAAAACTTATTTTTAAAGTTATTTTAAAATACTTTTAAAATATTTTTAATTATAGTTTAATATTAAGTTTTAAGTAAGTTAATAAGGCGCTTGCGGGCGTGAGTACTTTAATTTTTATAAGATTTTTTATATAAATTAATATACCTGTACCCGCGGGCGCCTTATTAAAAAATAAAGATTTTTAAAAATTTATTTTTTTTATAAATTAGTGTTAAATTAATATTTAATTAATATTTATAAAGTTATTTAGACCTTTTTACTTTTTTTTTTTAGGTAATTTTTAATTAAATTAATTAAAGGCAGTGCCTTAAACTTAGGGGCCTTTAGGCACTATTATAAAGCTTAAAAAAATAATTTTTAAAATTTTTAGTGTTTTTAAGCCTTAGCAAGCTAGTAGCCTTAGTTAATAAGGTTATTTAAACCTAAATTTCTTTTTAATACTTTGTAGCTAGCTAAACCTTAATCTTATTTTTTAAGTTATAGTATTTTTATTAAATTTTATTTAATAATTTTTAAAGTTAAAGCTTTTATTCACGGCAAGGCTAGATATTTTTATTAATATTTTAAATTTTTTTAATAACTTTTTATTTAACTATTTTATTAAGGTTATTTTTATAAAGCTTAAAGCCTTTTTTTTAGCCCTTATAAAATTAATTTTATAACTTTTATATTAAAATACTATTATACGCCTTATTTATAATAAAAAAATAATAATAAGAAAGCTCTTATTTTTTAAAAAAAAATACTAATAAAATAGCTTGTTATTAATACTTTAAAAAAGGTATTTAAGGTAATTCTTATTATATTTTATTTTACTATAAAGAAGTTCTTGTATAAAAAAAAAATAAGTTAAATTTAGTTTATTAAAAAAGTTAATAATATTTTTATAACAAAAGTTTCTTTTTTTTTACTAAGCGCCTTTAGTATTACCTTATTACCTTTAAAATTTAATTTACTATCCCCTTAAGTAACCAGGTATTTATTAACTTTTTTAAATTTTTTTTTAAAACCTAGTAAAAATTTTTTAATATATTTATATTATATAATTATAATAATATATTTAGGTATTACCTAGTATATATTACCCAGTTTTTTATATTTTTCTTCTATTTATTTTTAATATAAGTAATCTTTTTATTATTACTATTTAAGGCCTTAATGGCCTTTTTAATTAACTTTTAGTAACTAGCTTTAATTTTTTAAAGGTAAAAAGTAGCCTTAAGGTTTTTATAAACCTTTTTATAATATGCTTTGCCTAAAAAAAAATAAAATTAAAATTATTTTTTTTTATTTTTTAAAAAAATTTTTACTAAAATAATACTAGAGAGTACAAGCGGAGTATACTATATAAAAAAAATATATAACTTTTTTTTTAATATTAGGAAATATTATTAAAATAGCCTTTTACTTACTTATAAAGTTATTAATAATAATATAGCTAGGCTTTTAGTTTTTATACTATATCTTAAGCTATTAAATACCTTTAATAATAATAATAATATTTTAGTTACTATAAAAAATAAAGGCAGCAGGAATATAAGCTTTTTACTTATTTTAAATTATTAGTATTATTAAATAATACTTTAGTTTATTTATTTTATAAGTTAAATTTATTAAAAAAATAAAACCTTGCTTTTTTAGCGCGTTTAATCCCTATTACTTAGTAAATATAATAATATTATAATTTATATTAGTTAAAAGGCGCGCCCAGCAATATCTTTAATTTTTTAAAAAAATTATAAGCTTTTTTATTTACTTTATAAAGCTTTTTTTAGTGCCTATTTTATAAAAATTAAAAAAATAGTAATTATCCTTTCCCGGGCGTTATAAATATTATAAAGGTTTATATCTTTATCTTTAGTAATTTTTAAATTAATAAGATTACTAGTTTAAAAGTTATTAAGGTTTTTTAAAATAGCGCTGTAATTTATTATAAAATATACTTTAGTAGCTTTTTTTTTTACTATTATTTATAAAGCTAAATTAAGCTTGTAAATAGCCTTAAGCTTATAATTATAACCTTTTTTAAAAAACTAGGTAATTAAAATATTATTATTATATTTATAAATAACATGTATATAGCAAGGGTAACTAATAAGTTTTTAGCTTAATTATTTATATTAATAATTTTTAAATTTAATTACTAGCTTTCACGCCTTTTTACTAGCTAAATAATACCTATAATATATAATAATTATATTTATTAAGGTGCCAGTACATGTTTTATTAAAAAAATAAATATTATTAATTTAGGGCTAAACCTTATTAAATTTAGTTTTTATAAGTTTAAACCTAGCGCGATTAATAAAAAAAAAGTAATTATAATAAGTAATAAGGTTTTTAAAAGGCCTAATAACTAAAAAAATTAATATTTTAGTAAATAAAATTATTAAAAAAAAGTTTTAAATAGCTTTACTTTTAGTAGTAGTAAGTACCCCTTTTTTTATATACTAAATTTTAGTAGGCTTAAGTTTATATAAAAGTTATTATATAAAGTTTAGCTTTGCTAAAAGTAAGTATTAAAGCTAAAAACCTTATATACTATTTTTTTTATAATTATACTTTTAACTTTACAAGCATTTTACACTATAAATTTATAATAAAAATTAAAATAAATTAAAAATATTAAAAGCGCGGGATTAGGTTGCTTTATATAAGTTTTTTAAGTATTTAAATTTTTAAAGTTTTAAAGTTATTTACTATTTTAGTAAATAGTTAATATTTAATAATAAAATATATATTTAAATATGGTGGTAGTTAACTCTAAAACTTTTTTAGTAAATTTTTTTAAGTTTAAATTTTACTAAATTAATATAAATACTTTTTTTTAATTAGCCGCGCCTAATTTTACCACCCTTATAACTTATTAATTTTTACTATTTTATTTTATAAAATTTAATATATTATATAGTATATTAATTTATATATAATTTATTATATAATATAATATACCTATATAATATATATTTTTTTAAATTATTATTTTATTACTGCGCGGCGCGCGCAGCAAACATAGTTTAAAAAGGTGTTTATTTTAAAATATATAGAATATATTATACAAAGATAAATAAATTAATTACTTATAAATAGCGGGCCGTTTAGGTGGGGGGGTGTTGGCAGTATATGAATATCCCCGAGGAGGTGGTAAGCTAAAGGCGCCTTATTACGTATCCCTGATAAGCTCTGATATGGATCAATGACATACAGCTAGAGTTCTTTCTGAAGCTCCGAACACCAGCCCTGGCAATTATGTGGGTGCTTCTTTCCAGGTAAGGTGTGAGGTCGGTGCCGAAAATGCGGTGGAGACAATCAATTACTGTGATTCTCGAATCCAATGACGGCTTCAAGAAGCACGGGTGAATGAGAAAGGGGAGTTATGTGTGAGGAGACTCGGGGCTCCGTTTCACGGCGCAATACTACCTATCCTGTTGGTTTCGCATCAATCAATAATTGAGGCAGCTAGGCCCTACCAGAAATACCAGAAAGGCATCTTCGTGTCGATGCATGTAACCATATCCTTGGGAGATATTCGATATTCGCAGAACGTCGTACCGTCGTGCGCAGCAAAAAGCGGCTGGAGACGGGAATATGTTGCAGCAGGACGCCAGACAGCATTTCATATTACTGCTTAGTGGAGGGTCCTTGAACCAACGCTATCAATAAGCGAGGTTATGTCTCCAAACCTAGGAATCCAACGAGCCACCCCGACGCCTCTTATACTCATCCAGCACCCTAACCACATCCCCATTCAACTCCCGTGCAAAAAAAGACTCCCTACCCCTCTGAAGCTCCGCCAAATCAAAATCAGCCCGCACCCTCCCCGTCGAAAGCAAAAGCCTAACGACCTCGACATGCCCCCTCTCAGCAGCAATCATAACCGGCGTCCTCCCCTCCCCGTCCGCCCCATCAGCCTCAACCCCCCTCTCAAGCAACAAACGCATAATCGACGTCCGCCCCCGCTGCGCAGCCCTCCCAAGACCCGTAACCCCCCGTTTACTCGACAAGCCCGGATCAACCCTCCCGCTAGACAAAAGCAGTCTCACCACATCCTCATGCCCAGCCCCAACAGCCTCCACCAACGCCCGGTCTCCGAAAGAGGGCTCATGCTCTGGGTCCACGGTGCGAAGTGCAAGAAGAACTTTCACGACGGCTGCATGTCCGTTCCGCGCCGCAGCTAGGAGCGCACTATCCCCGCTGCTCGATCGCGCGTCCGGGTCCACGCCTTCGTCCAGAAGGCGCGTGACGATCCGCACATGTCCGCTTCTAGCTGCCGCCATGAGCGCGCTCTGCCCGAATTTATCGCTGCTGTTTGCATTTACTTTTCCAGTGCCAAGGAGCTCCTCGACTATATCTTCTGCGCCGGCCGCTGCGGCAAGCGCAAGGGGTGTTTCGCCGCGCTGGGTGCGGCGGTCGGGCTGGATGGCTCTTGTGGAGAGGAGCAGTTTCACGATGGCGAGGTACTCTGCTGCCTTTGTATTTGGATGCACGGTATCCCCATCCGCATCCGCGCCTGGTGGGCTAGGCGACTTCCACGCCCTGAACGGCGAATACAGGCCGTGTCCTGCTGCCCAGACGAGCGGTGTTTGGAGATGCGCGTCCGGCATATTCGGATCTATTTTGTCCGAGGAGAGGAGGATTGAAACGAGCTCTCTGTGGCCGTTTGCCGCGGCCCATGAAAGCGGCGTTCTGCTCTGGGCATCTTGGGTGTTGGGGTTTGCGCCTTGGTGCAGGAGGCGGGTGCAGGGGGCTGGTTTGCCGTGCTTGGAGGCCCATATTAGGGCTGTGCTGTTTTGGTGGGCGATTTGGTGGTTGTAGAGGATTGGGTTGGTGATTGTGTAGAGGAGTTTGGATGCTTTGGCGAGAGAGTTCAGGTCTTGTGGGGATGGGAGGAGGTGGATTGCGATGCGGGAGAGGAGTTCGGTTGGGAGGGTGAGTAGAGACATGTTGTTTGTGTGGAGGATATAAAAGAATGGATCAATGTGGGCGTGGTTGTCAGGGCTGGACTCCATTCTTCTCCCTGGTGCCTGATCGGTGCCTGAATGCTGCCTTTGGGCCTCAATTACCAGGCACCTGTACTGCCTAAGAGCACCATCATTGCTACAGTGCAAAACTTGATGTGGTGGGATGCCATAAAGGGCTTGGAAGTGTATAGCAGCATTGTAGTAGTACCTAAGAGCTCTTTAAGTTACCCTAAAGCGAAAGCCATCTTCCACCATGGGAGCTTACTCCTCGCCGGCCACTTGATCACAACCCCAGGCCTAGTAAAAACTCCAAAAAATAGCTTAGCATGTGGGAAGCTATGGCCCATCTCCGCCCAGAGGTAAGGTGCTCGCACTTGACACTGTCAGGAGTCTCCTCCTTGGACTTCTCATACACCTTATTATGCTCTCGCGTACCCCCCAGGCTATCCACGCACCCAAGATCTCGACGTGCTCGCCCGTCACCTGCGCAGGATACCTTTTTTTTGAACCGGGGCTCTTGATGACGCTTAAATTTGATGGTCTGGGCTTCCGGTGGCGTGAACTGTATTTTGGCAGGAAGCCTATACAACAACCAAAAGCCGAAGAGGACTCCACGTACTCAGCCCTCTTAATTCCTAACCCCAATTCTCCAGTAAGCGGCCTAACCACGCCGATGCTTCGATCCAATCAGTGCATCATAGCAAAATCTGAGATTGAACTCATCCGGTCTAATTATCTATACAGAGTCAATCTCGTTGTATGAACGTGGTTAAGAGGCTACCCTACCTATAAAGCACCGCCGCCGCCGAGCCCTAACTCGCTCGGGATTGCAAAGACGGCCATTAATTAAGTAAACAACACCATGACAGCATGGACAAAGACAAGGAATAAGGATCCTTGTTTTGACAAGTCAATTGGCATTCCAGATACATACTGGCGAGGGTCTGATCTATATACTCATCCTATCGCGAAGGAAGAGACCCGGCCCACCGAGTCCGTCGATCATACTCCACATTGCGCCAGCGAACTTGTTTCTGCGTGGGCTAGAGCGAAGATCATCAAGAGTCAATCTGGATTAACGTCACTCTTGGTGATCCTGACGATCGGGGCTTGTCGTGGATAAAGATGCTGTTCCCTGCACTTCAGTCATCACCCCTGCCTACCATACCAATCTATGTCTTGACGACCCCTTGCTCTCCATACAATTCCACCCATTTGAGAACGTGTTCATCTGAGCATCATCGCTCGCCAATAATGAGCACATGCACATCGAGCGAAACCCTGAGGCAAAAGGAACACCACGGAGACGACCCGGTCGACAACCATGACCCTCCCACCGCCTCACCAGAAACCAACGCCCACTCCACCATCGACAACGCCCCAGACTCCTTCCCGGACGGCGGTCTCGCAGCCTGGTCCGTCGTGCTCGGGTCCTGGTGCGCCTTCCTCCCCACATTCGGCTTCATGAACACAACAGGCGTCTTCACGGACTGGCTGGCAACAAACCAGCTGGCGGGGTATTCCCGCAGCGACGTCTCCTGGATCTTCAGCCTGTACATGTTCTTCCTGTGGTTCGGGGGCGTGCAGGTCGGTACGTTACCCTGCAGCCAAGCTACCCTACCCTACCAATCCGAATTCCTCACGGCGCTGACAGACCCCGGTAACAGGCCCAATCTTCGACCGCTACGGCCCCCGCCACCTCGTCACAGCCGGCACAATCGGCCTCACGGGCGCAGTCATGGCCTTCAGCGTTTCAACTTCGTACTACCAGTTCATCCTGAGCTTCGGCGTCCTCGGCGGGATCTCGGCGTCCCTCCTCGCCAACCCCTCCATCTCAATACTAAACCACTGGTTCTACCGCCGCCGCGCGTTCGCAACAGGTCTTGCCGTGACGTCCGGCGGAATAGGCGGGATAATCTTCCCGCAGATCTTCAACGCGCTCGCGCCGAAGGCCGGGTTCGGGTGGGCCGTTCGCACGCTGGGGTTCATGACGCTGCTGTTCTGCGGGCTTGGTGCGATACTCCAGCGCTCAAGGCTGCCTGCGAACGAGAGTAGTCGGAAGACTGTGGACCTGCGGGTTCTTGCAGAGAGGGGGTTCGGACTCTCAGCCGTGGCGATCATCTTCGCGGATATCAGCGCGACTATCCCGCTTACGTATCTCACGTCTTATGCAAGGAGTAAAGGGATGAGCGTGGACCAGAGCTACACGCTCATGTCGATCCTCAATGCAACCAGTATCGTTGGCCGCCTGATGCCCGGGTATGCAGCGGACCGCTGGGGCCGGTTCAACACGATGATTATAACAACAGGCATCTCCACAATCCTCACATTCGCGCTCTGGCTAAGCAGCGGCACAAACCACGCCGCGATCATCGCGTACGCCGCGCTCTTTGGCTTCTGGTCTGGCTCGGCGATCAGTCTGTCACCCGTATGCGTGGCGCAGATCTCGCGGACCGAGGACTTCGGGAAGAGGTATGGCACTGCGTATACGCTTGTTGCGCTGGGCGTGCTTGTGGCGCTGCCTGTTGCGGGCCAGATACTTGAGGGACAAGGGGGGGATACGTACTGGGGGCTGATTGTGTTTACGGGGGTGGCGTATGCGCTCTCTGCCTTGTTTTGGGGGCTGGCGAGGGGCGTTTGTGCCGGGTGGAGGGTTTGGATGAAGTTTTGATAAGCTGCAGAATAAATGTTTTTAAGGATATAGTCGGGCATGATGGGCTTGTCTGGTGCTTGACTACTTGACAATATATAACGGAGCAATGACATGCTGACCCTCACTCTTCCTATTCCGTCGAAGCCTGGTCCGCTTTTGGGAGATAGATCGAGACGTATTAGGATGCGGGCTTAGTCTGGGGTTGTACAATGCAGATAAAGGCATTTATCTCATTATCAGGGCTGGACAGGGTGGTGATACAGTATGATATGATATATCATCCAGCTGCGCGAGAACTACCATGCGGCCTTAGGTCTTTGTGCAATACCTCCACTAGCATCGGTACCTTAGTGTTTGGATCGGGTCAAGCACAGCCAACTATAGTTCCCTGTTAAGGCCTCGCCATATCTCCAAGGTTAATCGGCCTTGCTCCTGAATAGGCAGCATCAACACGAAAGGTTCTAGGTTGGGTATATCAGCATTCCACCCAGGGCTAGCAAAGTAGACAAGAGCCTTAAATACAATGTTGCTATGTCATTATCCGGACTGAATTACTGTTCAAAAAGAAATGAGAAAAGCAACGCCATCTATAATTATATCATAATGTATAGGTCTTTACCATCACGCACCAAAGCAAGACGAACGCAGGCGCAGCTCCCACTGCATACTCCGCCGCTCGGATTGAGCATCAACCACATACTCCCCACCCCCTTCATCCCAGCTCACCCGCAGAGACATCAGCGGTTCATCCAACATACTCAGCGCAAACGGCCACGGTTCAGACCCCTCTTCCCCCAAGGATAAGCACCTACATACATAGACCCCTCCCTTCGTGCCTCCATGCGGCGGCTCCGAAACAACCAGCATCTTCCCATCCTCCGAGACAGAGAGTAGCGGGTCAAACGAATGCGCAGTCGGGAGGTTCCGCGCGTCGAAGCGGTCCAATCTTGTCCCTGGATCCGATCCTCCAGCTTCTGGCTCCGCTGGTTTTGTCTCTTGCGGACTCTTGAGGCCGAGTGACGGCCGCCGCGCTGGGAGGCGCTGCGTTATCTCGATTCTCCCGTCATGGGATACGCGGCCCACGGCGTAGAAGCTGCATCGTGCGCGGCGGAAGAGGGCGAAGAACGTTCTTTCCGTTTGGCACGGGCATATTTTGCCCTTGTCCTCAGGTAATTGATGTGCAGGTGCTGTGTTGACAACGCGCATCCCGCGCAGTGAGGTCCCATCGCCTAAACTGCGCTCAATGGTCCGAGAATCCAGGTATACATTCTGCAGCGCCTTCTCCCAATACGCAAGCTGAGCCTGCTCAATGGACCTCGAGTCACGACCAGAGGTAGACGTAGACATAGATTCCCCCTGACAATCACACCCGCCAAACCCGACATACCGCACAAACGCCCCCCCAGGCCCATCAATCTCAACCCGTAAAAGCCCACCTACACCCTCAAACTCAACCCCCCGAACCGCCTCAAGCCCACTCTCACCAATAACACCAGCCACACTCCCCATCTCGGCCCCATCACGCAGAAAATAAATCTGCACGTTCCGCCCCAACGCAACAGCAAGAACCCCCCCGCACGCCGAAAGCGCAGCCTGCATGCGCGCGAACGGCCGACTGAATGTGGATGCGACGCTGTGGTTATACCCCAGTATCTGGCGCACGGCGTCTGCGTTGGGGAAGATCGCTGAGACGAGTTGGATCTCGTGGCGTCCGGATGTAGGTGTGTTGAATGTAAGTGTCAGCCCGCGCAGGTGGGCGGGGTAGTACCCGTCCTGCGTGCGCAGGGGGATGTTGTTCCGGGGAAATGTTGGGTCTGGGTCTGGGTCTGGGGTGAGGGCTGTGGATGTGAAGGTGATGGTGTGTTGGAGTCCGATGAGATGCGTTGTGCAGATTCGGCGGAATAGAGATTGTAGGGCTGGGAGGGTAGCGGTTTCAATATTGTTGTTGCTTAGTGTCGGTACGGCTTTTAGTTGGCGGCGGAGGAGATGTGTTGATAATGCTGCGGCTCGCCACGATTTACATGTTAACGACGCTGAATGGAACGACTCGATGTCCAAGGACAGGAGAATCTCCTGTAGGAGTTCGGTTGGTAAGGTGTATCCTGCCATCGCAGCACCAGTCAAAGACTCCTGCATTGATGAATTCGAAGTTGGAAGCTTTTGATCAACTTCTGAAAAATCTTACAGATATAACATGCGAACCATGGAATCAGCCCGTGCGGCTGAAGCTGAAACCGCTAACGGCTAACGGCTGACGCTATAAAAAACTCGATATCTGGCGGCCCGGGTCCTCTTCGGTCGGGATGCCGATTGGCCCTTCTTCGGCTAATTCGGCATCTTCGGCGTCCCCGTCATGCCATGGTAGCCATTCTATATAAGATTAGGAGGTGATGGGCACTGATGTGCTGTACTTGCGAGTATGAGCGACAGGAGATCAAGGATTGGACCGGTTGGCGATGTGTTGCAAGATCTATTCACTAATGTTTTCGCAATCGCTTTAGAGCATGGCAATAGCAATCAACGAATTAGGTGGTTTCAGTCAAGTTACAAAGACAAAAGCGGCGTAGAATACCATAGATGACAGTGTAAGCTTGACTTGAATTTGTAAACAAAGGAAAGCTTAGCAGCATCCTTCCCAGAATGACCCCGAATGCTCGAAACAATGTATTCCACAAGGGCGTGATTCCGAGGCTGGAAAGCTCCGAGTGCTCTAAAGGCCGATTAATTGGACATACAGGATATGACCGAGCTGTCAGGAGGGAATTGAAGGCATAATGTATGAGAAACCGTCCTACCACTGGTAATCCGTACTAATCAAGCTCATACTCTTCACCCAAAGCCAAAGACTTGATTTTCTTAGCGAACGTAACGGGACCGAATCTCGCCAAGCTCTCCATTTCGATATCCACAAGTTCTTCTTCGTCTGGTATCAACGGTGTCAGCTCAGCAACCGCAGGAGAGAAAGGGAGGCGGAGAGGGTACCTTTGCCATGGCGCCAGAGTGCATGTTGTCGGCGCATGTGCTCGATGGCGAGTGCGGCGAGCGGGCCTGTCCCAACCAGCTCCGTGTATTCCTGCTCATCCCAATGCAGCGTAAGCGGTGTGTCGTGCTTGCAGAACCCGTAATAATCTGCCAGACACTCCCAGATATCGTCGGTCATGTGGGACGGGATGTGGTGCAGCCACTCGTGCCGCTCGAAGAAGTATTCGTTGGGGAAGTAGTGCAGGATTATCAGCACGTATGTCAGTGTTGGCCAGTGGTTTGGGTCTTCGCTTTCTGATAGGCGCAGGAAGATGTCGACGATGTAGCGAAGCGATAACCCGTAATCAGAATCATCGTGGCACCCGGCTATCGGCTCCTTCTTGGGAAGGTTACCCGGGTTTGCCTGTTCTGGCTCGTGTTGCTGCACCGTAATCGAAGGATGAACTTCATACTTCATGTATCCCGGACGCATGATTGTTACCGGCAAGCCATCCCCTTTGTCCCTGATGGGACAATAATCAATGGAGGTCCCGGCACGACAGGAGATTTCGCCACCATATATACATAGAGCATCGAACACGGCAACCCAGTGCAGAACCAGAGCCAAGAGCGTCCGGCCACCAGATAAGTCGGTAATGGGGTGCGCGACCAAGTCCGAGGCCTCGAGAATCCCAATCTGAAGCTCCGCAGCTCCAGCAAAGGCGGCTCGTGTTTGAGGGGAAAAAGCGTCAGTCCAACGCTTGTCCGTATCGGCGAACTGCCCAAGGAATATGGGGAGCGCTTCCTGTAGGGTCATGCCTGGGTTGCGGCTGCGGATGTCCGCCAAGTTACGGATTCCAAACTCGTCCATTTCGCTGGATACGGCGGTGTAGTCGACTTGGATCTCGTAGTCAACGTCTGAATCGCCGCTTCTGACTAGCCAGCCCAAGGGTGGTAGACGCTTGATGACTGCGCGAGATTTCAAGCGTTAGTCAATGGGTACAAGTGAATGGATACAAGTGAATGAGAAATGGTAGGTACCGGAGAACTGTTCTTCGAAATTGTAGTCCCGCGCGCTTTTTGGTATACCAAAGTTACGGCGAATGCTTCTAATACGAAACGCCCGATTGACGGACTTGAGAATCACGGGCTTGTTATCTTCGTCGTTGAAGACATCGTGAAGGCGTCGAGATGAGGCGGCAAGATTGACAGCATCCTTGGGAACGTCCAGTCGTTGAAAGACCATCACAATAAGCTCAACTGGAAGGCCGCACAGCGAGTCGTTGGCCATCTTGGTGATGGCGGGGTGGTGGTGGTTGTGTTGTGCTGCAGGCGCCTTTTAAGCCAGGCGGGGCACGTGACATTCCCGGTCCAGGAGCACTCTCCCTTCCTCCATTCACCTGGCCAGCGATCTGTGCAGTTCTTGCCTTACACCGGGATAAAGTCATTTTGCACGAAGCCAGAGCGATCCACCACCTAGCCATCAGCCTTAAACTCATCGAAAATTGTCAGAAAGCCATCTATACCTCTGGGCTCTGGAATGTTGTTATATCGTCTGTCTCCTTTATCCAACAGCAAGATTAGAAACTACATTTAGATTCGCAAAGGTGAAACATACCGACGTCTAGCACCCATATATCATGTATCTTGCGGGCGGCTTCCAAAGCCACCGGGCAATGACTGATCTGTTCCGCATAGCTCCGTTCAACCCAGCGATGGCTCATGATGATACCGCCTTTTGTGCAAACATAGAAGTAACGGGTAAGGTCGTTGAGGAGTGGATCCAGCGAGTAGGCTGCCTCCCTTACTGGAGCTAACAGCTGGTCATCAATGTGCAGTGTTTCGCGGGTGGACTTGGGGATCGCAAGTACATGCAAGACAGTCGGCCAGTGCTGTGCATCATGAGAATCCAGCAGCCGAAAGGAAAGTCGGGCCAGGGCAATAACCGTAGTCTGGCTAGACAAATCGGTAATAGTGGTTTGATCTAGGGCTTGCAGGATATCTCTTTGAAGCTTGACTGCACAGACGAGAAGCATTCGACTCCAATGCCCGTCAACCCAGAACAAATCATCCATCTGGTCGAATTGCTGGAGAAATCTATCCAGCACTGCGGGAAATTCAAGGTCTGGAGCGGTATCTTGAATTACAGAAAGATCAAGCATGCTCGAGTGAGCCATTCTGCATCAGGGCTCCAGTCAATGTCAAGAAGCGTGTAGGATCCGCCTCTTCGAAGCCACCAGCTAGACGGTGGCTGTCTGACCAGCACTAGGCCATTTAGCTACCAAAGACATACAGCGGCATGAAGATGTACCTGAGAATGCATCTTCGAGATGATAGTCGGGCTTCCGAGGCACGTTTGCTGCCGATCTCAGGATGTTGATCCTGCTGTGCTGCCCACCGAAAGGGCGTAGATCTGGGGACAGGACGCGGCGAAACGGCAAGCATCGCCGATAGTTAGTATTGAATGGAAGATATTGAGGAGGACTTCATTGGGCAGATGAAGGAGATGCGTTTTGTCAGATGTTGCTGGTGAGTTGTTGATGCTGGAGGAAAGAGAAGAGCGCGTTGCGGGGTAGAGACACGTATTGTGCGTCACGTGTTTGTTTACAGTACACCAGAGTTTCATCATACAATAACAGATACAATAACAGGTGAGAAAACTGCATCTGGTGAAGAAAGTCAGCTTGCGCCGCCCTCCGGAGGAAGTAGTAGGTAGGGAGCTCCCACCGCATGGCAGGCCCTGGGTGGGTTGGACCTTCCACCATTGCCGACAGACCACACATTGTGTACATCAACAGCTGAAACAGTAAGGGTACCAGCCGGTGTTCTATTCATTGAATTCTGGCGATGTCGGGATTTTCCCGGCACTCGATTCAACCGGGAGTAAACAAACTGCTGCTACGGCACGGCCAGGGGCTAAGTCGTCTTACGGCACCGAAGCGGTACCTAGAAAACATCCAGGGGCCATGGTGGCTAGCTGAATGCTGCGACTGCATGTTCCGCCCATGCATATCTGCAGGTCAAGGCACACAGGCGTCGTATAGATGGGCGCGTGACACAGGATACCATATCTCTCCAGGGCTGGAGGAATAGTCAGCTTGGTTAAAAGTAACCATGGGTTCCACAGCTCGGCCTTGGGTCAAGAAATTTGCAAAGGTAGACACTTGTCCTCCTACCCCAGGGTATTTGCTCGAAGCCCAAATTGATTGTGGCCTGGGAGAAACTCTAGCACGAAGAAGATATATAAGTACATTACACCAGGGCTTTTATCCATGGACGCACAGCTACTTTAACAGAACAAGGAGGGATTTGAACATTTCAAACCGGACCGGCAGCGTTGTAGGCGATGGCTGGCTGAGGGCGCGTACCTGGGTCTTCCGAGGTATGCAACAACCCCAGTTATGGCACATTCCTTCGCAGATCATATTTCCGCCAGAACCTTGGGACAGTCGATGGGACCTCTTCTTCAGCCGCTTCATGCAATGTTCCAAGTGGAAAGCAAGGGATATAAATAACGGCTCCCCTCCCGTAAACCATGTGTATATGCTGTACCAAACATCCAATTGAACCACTGCTGAGAAGCTTGATCCGGTACATTGTCTCTGATCTTCATCATGAAGCCGCTTATCTTCTTCATGCTTCTCGCTTCATGCACCGCCCAACTCCCCTTCCCCTGGCCGTTCTGCGCATCAACCACCACCTTCTCGCTCGCGGGAACCTACACCGTCACCTCGACCAGCACTATAACTTCGGTACGCAAGTTGATATCACTTTGAGGATTATTTAACTAACCTTATGCCCCTAGGGCACAAGCACTACAACCGTAACCGCACCGACCAGCGTAAGCTCACATTCCCAGCATTATCTATCCTATCTTCTTTTCAGCTAAAGAAACCAAAATAGGTCTCGATAGCCCAATCCCGCACAACAGTCTACACCCCAACCTCCGTAACCTGCCTCAGCACCGCAACAACACTCACAGCATACCCGTCTTTGGGTTTGGACGGAAGTACGCTCGCCATCCGCGAAGCAAAGCCCCAGATTACCATTCCACCACTTCTGCCGACCGGATGTTCAAGCGTGACGATCATCCAGCCCACGGTGGCCGATGGTCCCTGCACGAGGGTTGAGGGGGACTTTGTTCTTGCGTATGCTATGCTTAACTGACTTGATACATTTGTGACCTATATCTTGCGGCTTGCTAACGGCGGGAATGGCGCAGGACAAGCACAGTCACAACCACGACAAGCGGAGTTCTCACCGAAACAACGACTCCGATCTCGACGCAGACAGTGACAGAGACCTGGGTGCAGCCGACGCCCACGAGCTTCAACGGTGCGTCCAAGTACTGCAAGCCCAGCCCCAGGCCCGGGGCTGTGCTGTGCTGGACCTCTCTGGGCCATTCCCTTCCTTCTCACACCTAAGGTGCCCTACCATAGGGTACACTTCGCTAACAACCCCAGGCCTAAACTACTACCAATACCTCAACGCCTACAACTACAACAGCGCCACAACCGGCCTCGGCGGCGGCGGCTACAGCACATCGCACTGGCTCGGCAACACCTCCTACCTAACCACGGGCCTAACACGCAACATCAACTTCGAGTCACCAAACTGGCCTACGGGCGCCGCGCTCTGCCAACTCCCCGGCCAGTCCGCGGCAACAGACTGCTCGCAATGGACGGTCGTATTCCAGGGGTTCATGTTCGCGCGTGTTCCCGGGCCGTACGTCGTGCATTCGCCGATTGCGTCGGAGACCGCGAAGTGGCAGGACAACGCGGGGTTCTGGTGGGGTGGGAGCAAGGCGTACGCGACGTATACCGATGGGAATGTGGATGGGGCTGCGACGCCGCTGGGCATCGAGGGCGTGGATAATTATGCCGCGTATGAGTTGGTGGCTGGCGAGTTTCTGCCGTTCACGTTTATCTATAGTAATGGGCAGGGGCCTGCGGCGAATCGGGTTGATGTTACGGGCCCCGATGGGGTGGTGTATCCGGAGGACTTGGAACTGTTTGTGCCGCCTTGTGAGGATAGTGCGTTTGTGCCTTAAAGTGATCGGAGAGCGAGCTTGCTCTGAAAGATTGATATGGACTTTAGCAGCGTGTTGAAGGAGGTCAGAGTATACACCCTGGTTGACTAAGTGTACACCCATAAACCCAATTGGGACCAAGTCCTACCATTTTTAACTGACTATCCCGCCCTTATACAAGGATTCCCGCAGATTTGAATCTATTTTGAGCCGTAACCTACCTAACCTTAAGTGCCTTATCTGTGGCCATGGATGACATTTCCATAGCCCTGTTTCATTATCGCCATTGACTAGGGCGTGTATAATTCCGGATTTCCATCCTAGTAAAGATCGGAGCAATTATTGATAGTGTTTAGTCGTGCTACCAAGGCAAGAATGTCAGTTGGACGGAAAAGCCCGAGTGCTTCCATTTGTGCAGTACGAGGCAATTAGGCTGGGGTAAGGAATGGCGTCGATTAATTCCTCTAGCCCGTACCAGAGTGTCTTGTGCCTCTACGCCCGCATCCATGAGTTTCTTATTTATTTATCACCCTAACTCCCGGCTATAAAGTTAAGTCTCGCTCGGCCTTTATATTAAATCTTAACTTTCCAATCACATCCATATATGTCCTTCACCCGCTCACCGCACACGAACCAGTAGACCACAATGATGCCAGACCTTGCTTGGGCTTCCAGGGGGCATTGGGAACGGAACACGGAGGCATAAGGGATAAGCGCGATACAAAGGATCTTGCAAGGCGGAGGGGTCTTGTGGGTGTTAGGGCGCAGGTAAATCAGGTGCTGTTAAGTAAGCAGGCTGAGAGTGTGAAGGATTTTAGGGGGCCGGGGAGTAAGAGCCGACTGATATGGCCTGGGTACCTTGTAGGACTTGGTAGGTCTTTGTTTAAGGCCGTGGCATGAACCTTTTACCAAGATGGAATATAAACACGGACTGGCCTGTTTAGAGCAAGAACATTACTAGTATACAGCAGTATCCAGATTCTATTTATTCTTTTAAGCCCAGTACATCGAGGATATGAGATAAATTGAATTGAATACAATTATACCTACACTATGGTAAAGTGCAACATGCTGCATCCATCTAACTTTAAAGGAGTGCGCATTCCAATTATCTATTATAAAAGATTTTAACACTAAAAGTACCTAGGCATGGTAAGTCTATAGTGGTTTCTCACGGAGAGCGCTGCTTGCGGAGCCGCCTATCTAATAAAAAGCACAGATTGCTGCCTTAAGACATAAAGAATAGATCCTGCGCGGTAGCACGTTACCAATAAACTAAAAACTGTGATTACATATATTGGATAGACGGACTTGACTGCGGGATGCTGAACGGCTCCGCGGCCAGGCCAACTAGGTGTCATAGCCATACAGAAAAAAAGAACAAAAACTGGCAGGCATTCCCCCGAAGCCTAAGCATCAGCAAACCATCGCAGCGATGGGAAGTAAATCAATGTACCTGTATATGAGGCATTAAAACGCATCCCGCACAACAAACTTCACCTGAGCTATTCCTTCTCGCACAAAAGTCGGCTCTCCAATGTTTCTTGTATCATTAGTAGGCGCTGACGGATGGCAACGACCGGATACAGCTGGAGATGAGACAGCTGGAGATTGTGTTTGATTTCGGATTTGGAAGGCCCCGGGGCCAGATCTTCATACCTCTCGTTCGACAACCTCCTAACGAGAACAACCATCCACTGTCCAAATTCCATATCAGTTGTCTAGGACGCTCTTCGTGTGAGGACGTCGATCTCCGCTATTCGTCGTTTAGTTGTTATAGTACCTCGAACTGAAGTGCCACTGCACAAGGCGGCGAATGTGCAATCGGGGTTTACCTGGACTTTACGGTGATAGAGTCCCGAGGTCCCAAACGAGTCCGGCGAGATTCGGAAACGGGCACTGGTGCTGAAACTGTAGTTGTCGCGGTTTCCCAACGGTCCGTACCCCGGGCTTTGAAGATAAGTAATCCGGGGTTTGCTGCATCAGATCATGCACGGCAGCCCTCAACGCCGTGTAACGCCGCTTGCAGACGACAATAGTAAGTTCTGGCAGTATGGAACTTGAACTGTCCTGTGGTGTGAGACGGAAACTTCCACTCCGCTCTGCCGGGCTCCGAAAAGCAGATCCCGGCTGACGAGCTCAGGAATCAACGGTTGACAATCAACTGGTGCAGCGGAGCGGCCCGGAAGTCTATGGTACGATTAGGCCCCCAGGTAAGCCTGTCAGGCCCGCAGCAATCCCTGCTAAGGCTGTGGCTGCCGCTGAAGAATCGGGGTTTGTGCCGACCCACTGTATCATACCAAAGCCCTGATCTCCATTCCAAATCCCGGGGTAGACACCACGCCATACCCAGACCCCGATGCAGAGGCCGAGCAGTAGTAGTAGTAGTAGTGATATTTAACGCCCCGGGGATCGTTAGGCGTACGCCTATTATTCTGGACCTCCCTTGGGGTATGGGGGCGTGCCGCCGCAGGGTAAGTAGCCTAACTAAATAGTCTATATATAAAAAGGTTTTTTATTTTAAAGGGCAACTCTTGCTAAAGCTTATAAACTAGCACCTATTTTTTATATACTATTCCTATATATAGCTATTAGCAGGTATTATTTATTACGCGTTTAGGGTTTTAGTTACAAAAGGTCTTAGGGGCCTGCCCTATTATAAAAAAAATATGTTAGCCGGAGCTAGTTATATTAAAAAAAGGTGTTTAAAATAAAATAAAAAAAAAAAAAAAAGCGTAGTAAAACAAGAAAAAAAACTATTTAATATTAAGCTAGGTAATTTTAGTGGTGCCAGGGCGCGGGGTGCCCTAGCGGGGATAAATAAACTTATAAAAGTTTATAATTTTAAGTAAAAATATAAAGCCTTTAGGCTTTAGTTTATAAAGGTACTTTAGGGCCTTAGCCTTAATTATTAATAGTATTATAAAACACTAGGGCTATTATAAAAAGCACTATTTAAAATAATAGTAAAAAACTAGGTATTTAGGGCTCTTGCTTATCCCGCAGGAGTAAATAAGCCTAGTATTTTTATATTAAAAGCACTTGTGGTATTACTTAAAGTCCCTATATAAAAACCTAAGCGCGAGCTAATAATACAGGACTAGTTATTTTAGCACTAGCTTTAGTAATAGCTTAACCTAATAAGGCTTTGCCTTAGTAATAAGCCATTGCCTGTACTAGGTAAATAGTTTTATAAACATGCCTTTTTATTATTTAGTTTAGGCTATATAGCGCATCTACTTATATAGGCTATATACTTTATTTATAGTAGGCTAAGCCTTTAAAAAATTAGTATTTAAAAGTTATGCCTTTACAAAGGCTGCCTTGTTAGCTAGTTTATTTACTAACTTATTTTTTTTAATATTTATATAGCCGGGGGACTATTATAAACAAACTATATATTAGTTTATAAGCTAGTATAGTGCTTAAAAGGCCTAGTTTAAAAATAATAAAGGCTGCCCGCGCGCGCACTAAATTACTAAGGTATTATTAATATAAAGCTAGTAGCATGGTGCTTTAAAAAGCTTTTTAATTACTATTTTTAGTTTTTAAAGCATGCTAATAGTTTTAGTATTATATATATAAAATTAAATATTAATTATTAATAGTTCCTGTGCCTAAAGGTGTTATCCATGGTATATTATAAAGCTATAGCTTATATAATAAATTTTTTAGTATATTTATTTAAAACTATTGCTAAAAATTATTATTTTTATTATTAGTAGTGCCTATTATTATTACTTAAACTTTTTCACAGCTAGCTTCTTAGCCTTATTACTAGTGGGATTTTTTAGGTATCCCTAGAAGTAGTAAAAGTAGGCTAAAATTAGCCTAGGAGTTTTTAGGAAAAGCACTTCTACTATTTATATTTTTATTTTAAGTTTTTAGCATAAGCTAGCGCCTTAACCACGCAAGATCTTAGGTAATATTACTTATATTACTAGTGGGTTTTAGTTATTAACTAGCCTTAGCCTTAAGGTAAAATATAATCATGCTTTTTTTAATATTACTATTATAAAGAAAAGCCTAGTATCCCTAAAAAAAATTATTATAAGTATTATTTAAAAAACTAAAAGTATACCGCGAGCGGCCAGTGCTAGGGTTTTTTTAATTACTTTAATATACTAGCCTAGTTAAGTGTTAACTTTTAGATCTTGTGCATGTTTTTTAAGTTTAGTTTTACTATTATACCATGCCTTTATATTATATAATAAGCTAGAAATAATATAAGTAATAATTATTTTATAAAGTAAGTTTACAGGCGGGCCATGTACTATATATACTAAATTATAAATATATTAAGCTACCACGCGGGCTTTAGCTACTTATTTAATAATATATTAATATTAAAAAAGTTATTTATTAAAAAAAATACCTAGCTAGTATAGCACAGGCTATTTTTAGCCTAGCACTATGGTAATAAAAGTAATTATTAGCTAGTTATTAATTACTAGCAAGAGTAACTTATTATGCTATTTTTAGATAATATATAATATTTCTAGCTTTTTAAATATAAAAGCTACCTTATTTTAATCCCCCTAGGCTAGCATGCTATAAATATTTTTTATTAAAAGCTTATAATTTATATAAAGGGAGTTACTTGCGCGGCTAAGGTAAAAGTTATTTATATAATTAAAATATAAAATTAGGTTTACTAGTAGTAGCTTAATAATATATAATAAAAATAATATTAAAAAAAGGGGCAAGCCTTGCGGTGTATTATAGTATACTAGGTATATTATTATTATAGTAAATTTTAGGCGTACTTTTATACTTTATTTATTAAAAAAACTTATAATTAAGGTTAAAAGCGCGCGAGGCTAGCCTTGCTTTATTATTTATTAAAGTAGGTATTATAATAAAATAGTATTAAAGGTACCTAAAATATTTATAATAATTATAGTAACCTTTTAGTTTTATAAAAATACTATTTTTATATTATAGGTAAAAAAGGCTATTAAGTTTATAACTAAGCGCTTGGGTAAAACATTATATTATTATAGGTTTAGTACCCCTTATACTAGCGTAGTAAAAGTAATATAATATATTATAATTTATTTAAGTCCCTTTTTTAATATTAAGAGTAGCGTTATAGGGCGCCAGGATTAAGGTAAAAACTTATTTTTTTTACTACTTTTTAAAAGTATTACTACCTCCGCGAGCTTTTATAATAAAAAAAAGTATTTTAATTATAAGTATTAGTTATATAGCCCGTGTATGGCCTGCCTAATATATTTTTAGTAAGCTTTTAAAATATAAATTATTACCTAGTCCGCCCTGGGAGAGGTGCTGCTTATATTAATAATATTTTTTTTAACCTTTTTTAATAAAATTTTTTTTAGCTAGTAAAAATACTTATTACCCTGCTAGTATTCCAGCGCTAGGGGATTAAAGTTTAAGTTATTATTTATACTAAAATACTTTAGTATTATCTTTTGTAAAATATTAGTTTTTTCCCGCGTGTTTTTAATTACTTTATTATTTATTAATAATAGGGGAGCCTTAAGCCTAGGCTCTAGCTTATACCATGTTATTATTTAATATAATTTTTAGTTATTTTTAATATTATTAATTATTTTAGTTTAATACACATACTTAGTCCTGTAAACTATAGCTAAAAACTACTTTTTTTATTTTAAGGTAAGGTTTACCACCCAGGCTTAGTAATTCTTTATATATTTAATTAATTACTAAGGGGCGCTATAACTCCCTAGGTTAGGGTATTTATTAATTACTTGTATAGCTTTTATAATAATATTATTAAGGGATTTAGTATATTAATTTAATATTTTTATATTTTTAAGTTCCCTAGGTTAAAAAAAAAATATTATTTTATTTTTTACTAGCCTAGCCAGGCGCTTAAGCTTATAGTTTAGTATATTATAATAATATTATTTTAGTGTTTTTTTCCCGCGCCCTAGTATTATAGTAATTAAAGTTTAGTAATTAAAGCTATTATATAGCTTGGGCATTACTAGCATGCGGGTAAAAAAAATATTTAAAAAGGTTAGGTTAAAAATATAGCTAGCTTTGTATATAGTTATACCTAGCTTATTAATATAATTAATATTATTATTACTAGCCTACCTAGTAATCTTGCTATTATAATATAGGTTATTTACCCCGGGCTTAAAGGTATTATAAGTAATATTAAAATCCCTATTAATTATATAGTTTAGGGTAGGGATTAATATAACTAGGTAGTTTATTATTTTATAGGTAGTTAGTTTTTAGTATATATTTAAAACCTTAATATTATTTATTATAAGCTATAGCATGTCCTAGCTTTATATTAGGTAATATTATTTAATATATAGCATTCCCCTTTTATAAATATAGGTAAGTATTTTAAGGTGCTTTTTTAGCTAGTTCTTGCGGTTATTTTAGGTATTTACTAGCATGTAATACTTATATATTAGGTAATTTTAAGTTTTTATGCCTGCGGTGGTCCAGGGTTTTTAAATATAAGTAATATTATAGCCTTATTTATAGGCTAGTTATAAGATTATAATATAGCTAGGTATAAATTTACTTATATTAATTTAGTAAATAGTAAAATCCTATTATTACTAGGTGTTATTTTAGTAGTAATTACCACGGTTTTTTTTTAGTACTTTATTATTAAAGCTTAAAGGGGGATTTAGCGTTAACTTTTATTACTTAAGGTAAAAAAGGCATGCCTGTGCTGGCTAGGGCGGGCAAGATTAATTTAATAAAAAGTTATTTAAGGTTTTAATTACTAGTAAAGGTATTAAACCACAAGGTGCAGTAGTTAGTAATTATTATAAAGCCCTGCTTGTTTACCTTTAGCTTTTTTATAGCATGCTTTTAAGGGTTTTTTTAGGGTAAAAATTACTTAGTTTTAGCCTAAAGCTAGGTATTAGTATTAGCCTGGGCATGCATGTTTTAGTACTAATAAGTATTATAATAACGCACGCTATTAAGCTTTTTTTTAAATAAGTAAACTAGTTTCCTATTTTTACACCTAGGGGCCGCCGGGTAATTATTATATTTTATTAGCCAGGGGCCTAGGTAGTTCGCGCAGCGCGCAAGATTTTTATAATTTAGATTAATAGGACCTAGGTGGTCCGCGGTTATTATGCTACACTATGCGCAGCGCACTGTGCGGTTGCATCGCGCCGGGTGGCAGTATCCCTGGCAGCCAGGGTTGTGCCGGGAAACCGGCTGGCGTTAGAGGCCGAGCAGTGGGCCTACTGGAGGTACATCTAACGTGATACAGATCAGGCAGGGAGGAGAGTATAAAGAGCTGGAGGCAGGATGGTCTTCTACTTCTACTTTCGGTCCTCACCATCTCTCATCAGCCCGATTCTCACTTCCCTACCGCTCTCAAGTACCAAGTGGGAACTATCCCGACCATTCACCATGCCCCCCGTCCTCAAGAAGTACAAGGCCGCCGCCGTCAACGCCGAACCGGGCTGGTTCGACCTCGAGGAATCCGTCCGCCGCACCATCCACTGGATCAACGAGGCCGGCGCGAACGGCTGCAAATTCATCGCCTTCCCAGAACTCTGTCCGTCTCCTCCCCCCCAAAGCCCCCACCTTCTAACAGACCAGGGATCCCGGGCTACCCCTACTGGATGTGGAAAGTCAACTATCAGGAATCCCTGCCCCTCCTAAAAAAATACCGCGAGAACTCCCTCCCCTCCAACAGCCCGCAAATGACACGCATCCGAACCGCCGCCCGGTCCAACAAAATCTTCGTGAGCCTGGGCTACTCCGAACTCGACCTGGCCAGCCTGTACACCACACAAATCCTGATCTCGCCGACCGGCGAAATCCTCAACCACCGGCGCAAGATCCGCGCAACGCACGTCGAGCGCCTGGTCTTCGGCGACGGGACCGGCGACACCACGGCGTCCGTCGTGCAGACGGAGATCGGACGCCTGGGGCACCTCAATTGCTGGGAGAACATGAACCCGTTCATGAAGAGCTATGCGGCGGCTCTGGGCGAGCAGGTGCATGTTGCGGCGTGGCCGCTGTATCCGGGAAAGGAGACGCTGGTGTATCCGGATCCGTATACGAATGTTGCGGAGGCGAATTGTGATGTATGCCCACTTCCCCACCTGCACCTGCACCTAGGGTTCTCTGTCTACCAAGGCAGGGACGTGGATAATTGCTAATTAGTGTGGCTGTGGTAGCTGGTAACACCCGCGTACGCCATCGAAACAGGCACGTACACGCTTGCGCCCTGGCAGACCATCACGGAGGCGGGGATCAAGCTGAACACGCCGCCGGGGAAGGCGCTCGAGGATCCCAACATCTACAACGGGCACGGGCGGATCTTCGCGCCGGACGGGCAGGACCTGGTCGCGCATCCGGATAAGGATTTCCAGGGGCTGCTTTATGTTGATGTACGTCTTGCTTCCTTCACCTTCTACCCACTCCGTCGGCGTCTCTCAATGGGATTGGGATGGGCCGCGTGGACGGAAATGCTAATCATGGATCCCTAATTGTCTGGACGCAGATCGACCTCGATGAGATCCACCTCACCAAGAGTCTAGCTGACTTTGTAAGCGCCCGGCCCCTCTCTTCCTTTCATCCAGTCCGCAGAAGCAGAAGCAAGCTAATGGTGTTGGGGTGCAGGGCGGCCACTACATGCGCCCCGACCTAATCCGCCTCCTGGTTGATGGCAACCGCAAGGACCTTGTTGTTGAGGAGGACCGCGTGAATGGGGGGATCAAGTATACGAGCACCATGGACCGGGTTGGGCTGTCGAAGGCTTTGGATGCGCTGGAGGCGAAGCCCGCTGAGCAGGAGGAGTAAGCTGAGGTCGGCTTTTACCGTCCAATACCTCGGATGGATGAGGGGGTGGTGCATGTAGGATCTATTCCAAGTTTACCTAGGATAATCTCAACTCTTTATCTCGATTTGCCTCGCTGGGTTTTGGTCCTTTGCTTACGTTTGCTCTTACTTTTTGCTGCCTTTTTACCGCCTGGATTTGAATACTGTCTTATTGTTGTTGCATTTCTTGGATACTTTCTTGATGATACATATGAGGAATACCATCCATGTGCTTTCTCCGACAGGTGAATCAGGTGGAGCCAACTACAACAGATACTTCCACTCCTCGCCCACAGGCGCCAACCCAACCAGCCAATTCGGCGGCGTGCTGTGCACAGTGTAGTTGGCGTTGAAGCCGTGCATGACCTTCTCGCTCCCGCAGTGACTCCGTCCTTCTCCTCCCTCCTTGCCTCTGCTATCCCTCATATCCTGAGCATGGCCATCAAACCCAGGCCTAATCCAGCCATTGGCCCACTGCATCCACAAGCCCTGCATACTGCTTTCTCCGACGTAATGGCTCTGACTTCCGTTCATACCCGGGGCTGCCATGTCCTCTCCAGCATCAGCACGATCAGTAACCCGCTCCTTAACCCACCGCATCCACAGTGCCCTACTCGCCTGGATGACCGGGAAATGGCCCATCCCTTCATACGTAACCAGCTCAAGACTCTGATTGCGGTTCTCAGACACCTTACAAGTCGTTTGAACAGCGTCACGAAGCATACCAACCGGAACTACATCCTCCTCGCCAGCGATCACAAGCAACGGACCCTCGATCCTCTTCCCGCCTACGGATACAGCCTTCGCCCATTTCTTCACAACGCGGTTTCGAGTCCAGTGCTTCTTGGTTTTGGGCTCCGAGAACGAGAATGCGAGGCTGTCGGTCGCCATGCACCCCTGCAGCGGCTTGAGGATGTGATGCCACCGGTCGTACGAGATCTCGCTCATGCCGGAATAGTTGTACTCGGGGTAGACGGCTGTGATACCTGCTATAACGCGTGGCTGGATGTTCAGGCCGCCCTGAACCCAAGGCGGGAGCTGAAACTGCGTCAAAGAAGAATCGTGCAAGTGCTTGTCAACGGCTCTCTGCGCGCGCCGAACCCACTCAATCACGTCCGTCGGAGGGGAAATCGCAATCGAGCCTCGATACCCAGGGACGGGACGCTCCACCATCCTCTCAGCAAACGCCCAGGATACATGTCCACCTTGCGAATGACCCATCGTGACAAAAGGTCCATCTCGCTGCAGGACATCAGGGAACGCCGTCCTCGCCGCTTCAATCGCATACGCGACATCATCCGCCCCAGCCGGCCCAGCAAGCCACGCATGGTCCTGCCCGTCAGGAAGTGTAACGCCGAGCCCAGCGTAGTCCGTCGCGATTACGGCAAACCCCTCCAGTGCAAGCGCGTACACCATCATAAAGTTGTACTGCAGGGAGCGATAATTGCTCGGCGCGCATGGGGCAAAAAGGCCCGAGGATCCGTGCGCCCACGCAACGATTGGAAAGCCCATTCCAGCACTCGACGCTGCATCGTCCGGCCTGTTGAGGTCATCGTAGTCAAACGGCACATACGGCCACAGCACGAACGCCGAAACAGGCACGATGGTCCCATTCAGCGACCGCGACGCATACATAATCCGCGACATCGTCAATCCACTTGGGATAGTATACTTCGCCACCTCCGTATGGGCTTCCACCTTGAGCACCGTCCCCGGTCGTGCCGAATCGAACGTCCCGTGTACCGGTACAGCGTAAAACGCATCCAGCGGCTCATGCGCATGGTTCTCCCGCTCATACAGCACCCCCCCAACCACGCGCCGCTGACACGCTCGATCACAGGTTGTGCTCCTGTCCAGCTCGTCGCGCAGGCTCGGCGGGATGTGGATGTCCGTCGCGGAATTGAGCAGGAGCATGCCCAGTAGGAAGACGGGCAGGCTGTCGCGACTGCCGCCGATGGCGTAGCTGATGATCAAGAGGACGATTATGTCGGCTAGAGGCATGGTGAGCGTGGCTGTGAAGTGCAGGGATGGATATGGATGGAGCCTGCAGGTGCAAGCTCGATGGCGTTTCCTTGGTGTATACTAGGGTTCGCGGAAGGAGCGATCGCATCGGTGGCTAGACCGGTCCACCTGCAGGCTCCACAGCGTGTTCGGGAGAGTTCCGAATACGCTTACGCTTACGCTTACGCTTACGCTTACGCTTACGTTTACGTTTACCTACGCTTGGTAGGGCTTGGCATGGGCACGGATGCCTGTACACGGATACGATCATGGAGTCATGTCGAGATCCTGCCCCAGGGTGGAGGTGGAGGGTTGGGTGTGCATCCAGCCCTATCCACGCATGGATACGATGTACTCCGTACAGCCTCGAAGAAAGCAGAAGTGGCATTTGAAATGAGGACTGCGCCTCACCTGCCGCTATCGACCGGGTATATATTGTGCTGTCGATAGCAGCGAGGTATACTGGTATACCATATCCAAACACTCAGACCAATCGAATACAACACTGCCACCTCTCCAACCAACTGATTCTACTTCTCGATCAAAACCATTGGAAACATGGCCTCCCTCCTCCTCATCGGCGCGATCCTCATCGCCGTGAAATGCGTCGACGAGCACGAGAAGAAGAAGCTGGCACACCAAGAAATCGACTCCATGTCCGCTGGAACAGCCCTAGATGCCGAGACCGCTACCTCCAGCGGAGACGAAACGCCGCGGAAGAAGAGCGTCCTTAGTCGGACGTACTGGCACGGGCGGAGACGGTCTAGGTCTCGGGGGGCTCAGAGACAGGCGGAGGCGGAGAGGATAGGCTTAGGGCCGGGGGTTGAGGCGCCGCCGCCTTATGAGCGGAGTGCTGCGTTGCCGGGGGTATGTTAGCTTTTGCCATTAATTACACTTGTGGAGGACTAATGATGGGTATAGTATCGCGAGCTGGAGAAGGTGGATTATCAGTGATGAATAGAATGGGTGGATTTGTCTGCCACAGAATGTATTAGCATGGAAGGGCGTTTCGGCTGATGATATTCCATCTGATAGAGATTCTTTTCTCTTCTCATGTTTGCTTTTCTCGCTGTCTGTGATACCTGCGTTGTTGTCATGGCGAGGGTTGTGGCTCTCGTCAGCCACATTCCTGCGTGCCATCAGCCACCAATCAATATAAATTCCCATTCCCCTCCTCAATCCTTCTTCCCCGCAACACTTCCGCGCATATCCAAACTAAGACCAGCAAAATGGTCTCCCTATCCACCGTGCACGCCCACAACGCCTCCCTCAAATCTCTGGGCCCGGGCCTCGTCGCCGTATTCGGTACCTACCCACCCCCATCCTCCTCCCTCCCAGATAAACACCCACTAACAGCCCCAATACTAAACAGTCGGCGGAACATCCGGCATCTCCCTCTCCACAGCCCTCGCTCTAGCGCGACACACCGTCTCCCCAAAAATCTACCTCATCGGCCGCAGCGCACCCGCCGCACAGTCCGCAATCAACACAATAAAGACCCTGAATCCATCAGCGACCACAACATTCCTGCAATCCGACATCTCGCTCCTCAGAAACGTCGACAGTGTCTGCGAAAAAATCACGAAAAACGAGAAACATGTCAACATCCTCTTCATGACGCCCGGCCACATGACGCTCAGGGGGCGCGACGAGAGCGCCGAAGGGCTCGACAAGAAACTCGTCCTGCACTACTATGCGCGCATGCGCTTTGTGCAGAATCTCCAGGCCCTTCTTACATCTGCCTCTGCCTCTGCCGCAGCCACAAACTCTTCAGCTGGAGGGGAGGAGCGTCCCAAGCCCAACCTCTCGCGCGTGATCTCCGTCCTCGACCCGGCCGTCGCAGTGCGCGGGTCCCTGTTTGGGCTCGGCTCCGCGATCCTGGACTACGACGACCTCAGTCTGAAGCGCGGATTCAGCGTGGCGAAATGCGGGCACCACGCGTCGCTGATGAATAACTTTTTCCTGGAGGCGATGGCGCAGGTTCATACTGGGACGTCGTTTATCCACGCGTATCCCAGCGGCGTTGATACGGGGATCTTGCGCAATATCCCGGGGGGAAAGGTGTCGAGGGGATTGGTGAGGGTGGTGTTGAGGCCGTTTATGGTGCCGCTTGACGAGAGCGGGGAGAGGTTTTTGTTTGCGGCGACTAATACGAGGTATCCTGCTGCTGCTGCCTCTGGTGGATCTGATGGGGAGGTGGCGGTTGGGAGTGATGGGAGGGCAGGGAGTGGGTGTTACTGGGTTAGTTGGGATGGGGAGGTGTTTCCTCAGTATGGGAGTATTGGCAGGAAGAGAGAGGAGGGCGCGGTGGACAGGGTTGTTGGGCATACACAGGAGGTGTTTCGGAGGGTTTGTGAGGAGGACTTGACGTATCCTTGATGGACATATATGAGCAGTGGTTGGACTGGTGATTGATTAGTTAGGGCTCAGGGATGGGTTGTAGCCAAGCTTCGATTAACGCATAACGGGGAGTCTACGCCGTCAGTTTCTCCAAGTCACTGTTGTATGAACCGACTACCTAGTAAATTGCAATATAGTTGCATTCTTGGCCATTAAACTCGGGCCCACGGAGCCCCGGGACCCGGCAACCTTGAATCACAACTTAGCGATGTTGCGCCCGGTGACAAAATCTCCAACGTGGCTCACCGGGCGCAGCTGCAGCAAGGGCCCGCATCCTCAGCCTCACCGAGTCAGAGTTGACATCACGAGTACTTGTAGTATCCGGGATGATCTAGATTTAGGCTTCTCATGCGGAGAAAGTCGGTGAACCATATGTGGCTGTCACGATTTGGAATAAGATCGGCCGAGTCTAGCCCTAACTCACCACATCTGCCGGTGATTGGACCAGCAAGTGCCTAAAGATGCCTAGTCTACCTACTCTGTGAGGATTTCAAATCAACGCTTGGCAGCGCGGCTGAGCACAGGGCTGAGTCCACTCTCCACTTCTTTAAATCCTGCGTCCGCCGTGATGACTTCGGTTTTCACTACCACTATCAACAAGATGAGCATGCTGACCCTAGAAGCACAATCCAAGTTCCGCCCGCGCCGCCGCCATCGCAAGTCGAGGAATGGCTGTGCCGAGTGTAAGCGGAGGAGGATCAAGGTGAGTCCCAATTACCATAGTATCAGCGGAGTACTGACAACGTAGTGCGATGAAATCAAACCCTCCTGCTCGCGATGCATCCTGACGATGCAGAAATGCATCTACGCCTCGACTTCCCCAACACAGCCAGCGACCACCGACCAGGGCAGCCAGCTGTCACTCTCCCTACCAACCCCCAGTCCTCGCAGCGGATCACCATCCCCACCCTTCGAGGTCTCGCAGCTCTCCCTATCCCCAGCCCATCCACATCCAGACCTCGACACCTCCGACACAGCCCTCTACCACCACTACCTGCACCACACAAGCCGCACCCTCACCGACAACCGCCGCGACCACCACGCAATCCAGATCTGCCTGCCGACCCTGGCCCTCCGCAGCAGAACCGTCTACCACTCCATCCTTGCTCTCTCTGCAGCATGCATGTGCTGCGATCTGATCTACAAGGACCCCGCGCCTGACGTCGCGACCGTCATCGACATCCTCATGACCGGATACAGACACTACAACCTCGCCAGCGAGCGCCTGCGCGAGTTGATATCCCGACCAAGCGCTGCAAATGCAGAGCCATTACTCGCTGCGCCACCCCTCCTCGTGCCCTTCGTCACGTCCAGCCAGCAGGTAAACCACTGGATCTCGAATCGCACGAGCGAGCCGTTCCACGGACAGAAGCGGCTCAACTCGACGCCGAGAGATGTCATCGTTATATCGCGCGGTATAAGCGCTACCATCCGCGCCCTCTCCAGTCACAGTCACAGTCCAGCTTCAAGCCCAAGTGCATGTGCATGTGCATGTGGCTATCCACAACTCCCAACCCCGACCCCAGACCCCCTGGACTCAATGGACGACTACGCGGACCCCATCCCTTCCTCTCCCACACTGGCATTACCCCCCTCCCACACCCACCCAATGTACCACCTCATCAAATCCACCAGCAGCGCAGCATTCACAAAGCTCCACCACCGCATCACCTCAGCCGCCTTCTACACACCCCCCAGTCCAGCCCTAACAGCCTGCACCGAAGCCTTCGACGTCCTCTCCACATTGCGGAATGGCATCTTCCCCCCAAACCCACTGACCCCCCC